AGCGCCGATTTTCGGTAGGTAGCGTGAGAGACCTGACCGAATATATCACAATTATTGAAAACAAATGGCATGTGTACATATTCTAAAAGAAATAACTTCAGCCATATTTGGAAAAAGGTTTGGTTACGATTCGTTAATTTTTATCAGTTTTGTACGCCTTAGAATACGGTGGCAAATAAAGAGCATTGTAGGCATTTAATGCTTTTCTTTTCCGAAAGGGCAAAAATGCCACACAAGCGGCAAATAAGATATGCGCTGTTTACGGCGAGGATGCTGTAGCCGAAAGAACTGTGCGGAAGTGGTTTGCTCGATTTAAAGCTGGAAATTTCGATCTTGAAGATCAAGGACGACAAATTTTTTGCCAAAAAACCTGAGAGGTTCCGGAAGGACGGAATTCTCAAGCTGCATGAAAGATGGAGAAAGGTTGTGGAACAGAATGGTACCTATATAATTTACCAAATGTATACCAATGTTTAAATGTGCTGCGTTTTAATTTTCCTAAAAAATCGGCACGAACTTTCCGGACAACCCAATACATGGAACGTCGTTAGCAAACTCCGTCCGTAAGATTCGCTAAAAGATGTTGTCGAAGGGACGGCCGACGTTAACGCGAAACGTTTTCTCCGTGTATTAATTGATGGCCGCCGCCGCGATCCTCCGATTCGCACAAGTAGATATTACGATATTATTGAGTTTCCGCGTACACGCAAGGAATAATAATGGCAGAATTTTCAAACGAAACGATCCGATCGGATCGTTGAACGAAGCAACGCCTGGGAAAGTGTGGGGTCTTATAATAAAAAAAAAAATGAAGTCTCAATTAGCCAGCGGTCTAACGCATGAAATCGTTACGCCGTACATTTCGCGCAAACAATTCGATTTTATCGTTCAGATCGGAGCATTGATTCCTTCTTTCGCGTTCGAACGCGATCGAATCGTAGACACGTAGTTTTATCGTGGACAGCAGACGCGGCGCATTGTGCAATCGACTCTTTAATGCTCGAATAAACTATGTTCGTTCTCGAGTCGAACGATCTGTTCGTGCTTCGAATGCGTTATTTTTCATTCAATTAATTCGATTAATTCAATTCAATTCGATTATTCAATTCATTAATTGCTGTCATTCAATTATTCAATAAAATTAATTGTCATCATTCAATTATTCAATGAAATTAATTGTCATCATTCAATTATTCAATGAAATTAATTGTCATCATTCAATTAGTCAATGAAATTAATTGTCATCATTCAATTATTCAATGAAATTAATTGTCATCATTCAATTAGTCAATGAAATTAATTGTCATCATTCAATTATTCAATGAAATTAATTGTCATCATTCAATTATTCAATGAAATTAATTGTCATCATTCAATTATTCAATGAAATTAATTGTCATCATTCAATTATTCAATGAAATTAATTGTCATCATTCAATTATTCAATGAAATGAATTGTCATCATTCAATTATTCAATGAAATTAATTGTCATCATTCAATTGATCAATGAAATTAATTAACCCTTTGCACTCGAGTGGTGACTCTGAAGCACCACTAAAATTTGTTACATCACGTTTCAAGATAATTTTGACATTAACAAATTTTAGATTTATAAAATTGTGAAGAGCGTAACTGTTGCGTGGGTCCTAAGAGTCAATTTCATGTACGTGAAATGCATTTTGTCGTATAAAATAAAAATACTATAAGTTAGAAAAATGATTTTATATTTACAGTTAAAATAGCTTTGAGTACAAAGGGTTAATTGAGATAACGACGTTATTTCAAATAGATTGTATAAGTTAAATAAAAAATGCGAATAGATTTATTTCGAACTGATCGAAGATAAAAGAAATTTATAAAAATAGGATTTCTTTGGAAAATCTGAATCTAATAAATTAGTGGATAACAAAACGACAGTTCCATATTTAATTCGATTAATTCATTTCAATTATTCGATTCATTAATTGTCACCATTCAATTAATCAATCAAGAACAACGAAATTGCATGGAAGAAAATAAAAATATGCATATTCTGGAGAAAATTAAAAATATCAATCGACTAATATCAATCACGAACAGTATCTCGACTGAAAATAATAAACTGAATTCAACGAAAAATACACCGATTACTTTATTACCCTAAGTTCTCTGACTTATCGACTTAGTAATCGATCACTGATTATAGCGTCCTCTCCTCATGGGCGACAGTCGGTTCAAGAACTACTCGCTATGGCGGGATTAGAAGGTAAAGAGATTGTGTCGCGTATAAATGCAACTTGATCATGCTGAAAATGCGTGTAAACTTCGTTTCAATAAATATAACATTTATCAGAAAATTATTTATTTCTATATTCCTGCTAATGCTACCAAAAACTTGAGTTTGGCAAATGCAACAGCGATTGTTGATCCTTTTATTCGAAAAAGGGCACTTCTTATCGCGAGATAAATTTACAGAATAAGCGGCCTGGCGAATGTAAAATTAACGATAGAAATATGCAAATTCATTTGCATCATTTCGTTAAGTATTACAGATTACAGATTATGCGAAATGCTCGCCGATGTGCATATTTAAAATGGCACAAATTCTCTGAAATTGGACCAAAAGGGGACTAAAATTTGACTGAAATTTATTGAGATGTCGCAGCGACTAGCTTACTAAACATTGCCATTGATTAGAGTGACAAAGGAAAAAGACAAAAAATTAATCTCCCTTAATTTAATTATCTAAGTCCAAAATGAGGATTTCAATATGCACAATATGCATGCAGCAAAGCACCGAAGCACTGAAAGAACTCAAAATGTCCAGATTTCTTACGATTATCGTTCGATGCTGCCGAAAATATAAATATAATATTCTATTATATATTATATATTATTATAAAAATATAATATTCTATTTTACTTACACTCCGCAATTATTATCGGCATCGCCTTTGATGTTCCCGCGTTACGTTCAACGCCTGAGAACTCGCTGAAACAATTTCGTGTAATTTGACGAAACTAATTCTTGCGCCGTTTGTGAAACGATCTCGTTACATTACGTAGGAGGAGAGAATGATTCTTTTACATCCGACTTAAAAAAAAAGGCTCATTTACGGACGCGAACGCGTGACTGTATAAGTCGTGACTATCCTCCACCCTATTTCCGGAAGAATATCCGGATTTTACGTAACGGGCGCAAAGGACTGGGTCTAGAGAACGGTACGAGTATGACACGAACTCTGTTTAAGCATCGTTTATTCACGTAAACACGCGTTACGTGTGTAACGGGGAATAAACCGTGTCGCGCACGATGATCCCGTGCGGAAGCACTCGCGTTTGCTAATCTTCTTTTAGAGAAATCCGTTGTTCGTGGGCACCTGTTTGCACTGAAAAGATACGCAAACTCCTTTATCAGCTTCTAACGAAGACCCAGAACAACAGTTATTCGAGAAATCGTCCTGAGAAAAATTGGTAACAAAAGTTTATTAAATTTCTAGTAATAACTTATTCTGTCCTTTAAAATTGGAATAAAATTCTAATCTCTTGTCAGCAATATTTTGAGCATTCAAGTAAATTTAGACGCACAATAAGCATCGATTTTTTTTCCCTTCTAAGAAATTAGTCCAAAAATTTCTAATCGCAATAACTGCGAAGAAAATGGTATGTCAAGGGGTTAAAGTGTTTCATTATTCAAGTTGCTTAAAGAATATTTATTATTATTATTAAAATTTTATTATATTGTATTATATTATATTATATCTGTCTCTTATACACATCTAGATGTGTATAAGAGACAGTATATATAATATAATATAATACAATATAATAAAATTTTAATAATAATAATAAATATTCTTTAAGCAACTTGAATAATGCTGTCTCTTATACACATCTAGATGTGTATAAGAGACAGTATATATAATATAATATAATACAATATAATAAAATTTTAATAATAATAATAAATATTCTTTAAGCAACTTGAATAATGCTGTCTCTTATACACATCTAGATGTGTATAAGAGACAGTATATATAATATAATATAATACAATATAATAAAATTTTAATAATAATAATAAATTAATTAATAAATTATAATATAATAAATATAATATATATATATATCATTGATTAATAATGTCGCACGATCACCGACTAACTTTTGTTTGAAAAGCTCTTCCATCAGTTTATCACTGAACACAATTTATAAAAATCAGATTAATCGGATAAACGTTCGACGAATGGGGCAACGTGTTCAAAAGAAATCCACTGAAAATTAGAATAAGCATCATTTTTGACAACAAAACGGAAAATTCGATCGAAATTGTGGACGAATGAAATTGAAATCTACGTTCCTTTATTAGAATTCTAAGATACAATTTAACCGGTTAGCTATGGCGCCTTCTTTTCAGAGCGCGAGACTTAGATATGTCGCGAAAATCAAGCGTTGACGAGTATACTCGTCGTGACACAAAATACAGTAATGTCTTTCTAATTGACACTGAGATTCTGCACAAAAATGGACAGTTAGAGAAGGTACGATTGTTCCAGCCTTGTGGTCCGTTTTTATAGCTCTTGATAATCGATAACTATAAAAACGAGGCGCACGGCTCTAATAATCGCACTTCCTCTTCTCAAATTGTCCATTCTTTTGTGCACTATGTGCGTCAATTAGGGAGACATTATTGTATTTCTCCGTAACGAGTCTACTCGTCGCGCGCGAACACAGCAAACTGGTTAAATCCGGACAAAAAATACCGTCGCTCGTGCATGGATGACACGGTAATGAACCCGTCGCGCGAGATAAGATATTTTGCGACCCGCGTTGCGCGCGAGCAACGCAATGAAAAACACTTAGACAAAAAAATATATACGTGAGCACAAGTTACCGGGATGAAAGTTGAATGGTAGTCGATAGGCGTGGTTGAAGATCGGAGTGCAATCTGCGTTATTCTGCGGCCGGGGCGCGCGGGCGGCCATCAAGGCCTCTTCAGGTCAACGCGATCCAGTCTGCCGTATAAAACGCCCCTCTCGACGATCCTTCGAGCCACTGTTGTACTTCTCGTCGCCCAGTTGTCGTTATTTCCCCCATTATGGGTGCCGCGATCGTAAGTACCTGCGCACATTTTTTCTCGGTTTTTATTTCAATTCCGTCAAATTAAAACCTTTATTAACGATCGGAAAAATTCGAGCCTCTCGTAATACGGGCACGCGATTGTCGCAAGAAATTCTTAAAATGGCTAACTAAAACAGCATTTTTTCGGTGATATTGTAATTTACGGCATCGAACGTTATCGGTTGCGATATAAAGTGTCACCTTGAAAGCTTTCGAGACTGTTCAAACAATTTCAGATGTTCCTATTCTGCGCTGTGGCGCTGGTATTATGTCGATTATCGAACGGTCAGTACCAGCCGCCCCAACAGGCTGCAATTTTGAGCGATGCGAGATATTTGGCCGGTGACGGAACTTTCGGAGCCGCTTATTCCCAAGAAGATGGCGTCGAGTTCAAAGAAGAGAGCGACGTTTATGGAAATCGGCGTGGGTCTTACTCTTACGTTGATCCGACCGGACAAAGGCGTACGGTGTCGTACACAGCCGGGAAAAACGGTTTCCAGGTATGCGAGAATATTATATTGAATATATTATGTAATATAATAATATAGATATTATTAATATTTCATTCATAGATATTATCAATTTTTATTATGGTAATAATATTATAATAAAAATTTAATATAATATAAATATACTATAATATCTATATTATTATATAGTATATTTATATTATATTAAATTATATAATATAATATATACTATACTATAATATAAATATTATAGTATATTTATATTATATTAAATTTTTATTATAATATTATTACCATAATAAAAATTGAATATAATATGAATATAATATAATGTAAGCATAGTATAATATCTCTATTATTATATTATATTATATTGTATAATACATTCAATATAATATTCTATTTTTATTCAAATATATATACTTATATATATTTATATTATTGAATAGAATATTATAATTTGAACTAGCCTTTCAATACTGATCGTTTCATTTTATTTGATAAATTGTCGAAAATTTTATAACATCGTTAAAAGCATATTGTTGGCATTACACCGCCGCCATTTTTCATGTTCCATCAATGTATAGAAAATGAATTTGCATACGGTATATTGAGAAATCGTATACAATTGTTGCCTGCCAATACGGAGAAACTAATTTGCATAATTCCGATTTCCGAAGTTGCGCTAACGCTTTTATTACCAAATACTGTTCGAATATTCATAGCTAGTTTACGATTATTGTTTCGTGCAAGTTAATGTTGCAATTTCACTTGATTTCTGTTCCCTGTAATTTCCCTATTCGCTTTCATCCCCGAAATAGTGTGCAATATAAATGTATCGTTCATAACATAGAACAGTGTAATTGTAATAAAAAAAGAACAATTTGTATATATGTATACAGTGGGTAAAATAAGCAACACCTCACGCTTTTTAAAACGGAATAACTTTTTCATAATTGGGCCAAGCTTTTTGGGATGTTAGAGGATGTTAGAATATTATATATATATTCTATATATAATTATTCTACCAGACAATTCTTTTATTAAGAAATTATATTATATGATATATATTATATAATATATTAAAAATTATTATATTATATATATTATATAATATAATTTCTTAATAAAAGAATTGTCTGATAGAATAATTATAGAATATATATATAATATTCTCTTATTAAGAAATTGCAATTTTTGCAAATAATTTTAGATAGAACATCTAACCTTGCTTACAAAAAACCGCTGCAACTGATTTCCGACGTTCTCGTTCGAAGTAAACCGTTTAAAAAATTGCTGACACAGCAATCGACTCGTGGCCGCGTAATTTTTCAGGCGACCGGTGACGGTATCCCCGTTCCACCCCCGCAAGCGCCGCCTCAACCGGAATACGAGCCGTTGCCGCAATACAACCCGCCAGATTATCAACCGCCGATCCACAATCCGCCCGCCCAGCAACCTTATCAACGTCCGAGCGCACCGGTGTACGAACCGCAGCCGCAGCCTCGACCCGTGTACCAACCGGAGCCCCAGTATCCGTACAGGCCTCGGCCACCGCCACCGCCACCCCCGGAAATCGAGTCTATACCGTCGTACAACCCTCGATCGCAGTATCAACCCCCGGCCAGGCCGCTACCGCAGTACAACGAGATCACCACACCGTCCCCTAGAAGATTCTATCCGCCGGGGAAGCTGAGCTTCAACAGGACACCCGACGGCTACTCCTACACATTCAGCAAAAGTTAAGTCTCGTTTGCCGGCATCTAAGAACAGTGCGACGGTGCGAGGATCGCGCGTCGATCGAGGAAAAATCGTGAGTACGATACGGTCGAGGGAATGATACAGTCGCGAGAGATTGACAGTCGGGAGATTACAAGCTACGTTATTCTCTACACAGGGTGTCCCGAAATTATTGTACCGAAAAATATAAATAATAGTCTAATAAAATAAAAATATAAATAAATAAATTATAATAAGGATTATAGTTATTATATATAATATTATAATTATATTATATTATATATTATATATATTATATTATAATATAATAATAAATAATAATAAAATAATAAAAATTATATAATATAATATAAAATATTATATTATAATTATATTATAATAAGGATTCCTGAGGCTATATGTAGCAACTCTTTCCTTTGCGAAAATGCAATCCGCGGCTTCGTTTACGAGTTATTAAGGAAAACCACAGACCAATGAGAGATCGTCTGCGACTGACGCCCCGCCCTCGTGACCACTGTCGTTGCGTCACGCGACTGGCGCGACACGGCATTGACCGAAAGGGTGGAGCGCTGGCTGCGCTCGCTCTACGATTGGTCAGTGTTTTTCGTTAATAACACGTAAACGAAGCCGCGGATTGCATTTTTGCTAAGGACAAAGTTACTTGAAACGACCCCAGGAACCCCGCATTTCTCGCTTCTACAATAATTTTGGGACAACCTGTAACTTACACTTGTCGGACAGCGTGTATCTCGATAATTTTGCGAAAGCTGGATAATATTTATTTTCAATTATTTTCTGGTTGCTCTGAACACGGTCTTGCGACAGTTTTTATTTACTATACCACTGTTGCTCCGTCGAATTATGTTATGTTAAATTTTCCCTCTGCTACGAACTGTTCAACAAGCTTGTTCGATTCTTTCGTTCTTCTGTTTTGCTGTTAAGACGTAATTTAACGAGACATATATTTAACTTATGACATATTTAGGAGTCTAATCGCAAGTAATTATTGTACATCGAAACCTCATACGCTACCTTACGCAACTGCGTGAATTATAACTGCGATATGTCTAATCGTGAAAGCTTAATACAGTAATTTCTCCGTAATTCGCGCTCGGATTGCACGCAAATGTGGACAAATTGGGAAGAGGAGATACGATTATTCGAGCCTCGAGACTCGAGGCTCGTTTTTATGGTTGTTGACAATAGTCATATTAATATAATACTAATATTATATTATAATATTATTACAATATTATTATATCAATATCATGTTATATTAATATAAAAATTAATATAATATAATCGCTCGAATATATATAATCGTATCTTCCAAAATTGTCCATTTTCGTGCGCAATCTGAGCGCGAATTACGGAGAAATTACGGTACAGTTAATTTATACGCTCGACAGATTATTATTATATATATATAGAAGTGCACACAAGTTCGCGTAAATTAATACACGTGGAAACTATCGAAAGGAATTGACACGAATGGTCGATCTCGTATTCGTAATTAGGAGATTGTGGGTAACTAGAGCCTTGTCCATGATCTTACCTCCACCGCGAGGCTTTCCGCAATGAACGGGCGAAACTTCCTGCATAAAGGCTGCATACGTTTTGCATAAATTTCCAAGGGAACGCAACGCGAATAAATTAGTCGGTTAGTCTCAATTAAAATCGTCATTCGCATTCTTACTTTCACCAATGCCGCCGCGCGCCGTGTCGCGTTAAACGTTCGAGGGAAAAGCTTTGTCGTACGGACACAAAACTTTTTCCCTATCGCTGTATGCTCTGATTTGTACAAAGCTATTATGCTAAAATTTAACCGTCGACGGCGATGATAAGTTATTAAAAAAAATAATTAAAAATTATTCGAAATGTGTTAAAAAGAATTTTCTGAAAAACGGAAACCATTTAGAATTTCTTAGGCAGCCGTTCTCTTCAAGTATTCTTCTGTATAAAGTGTAAAGAATGGCCTTGAGAAATGAGACATTTGAAAATAAATTTGCAAATGTCGATCGATATGTTATATATATGTATGTATATGTGTAAGTAAGATGAACGAGCAATATATGAAGATGCTGGTTAAATAAATCGTTCAACGTTCGTCGAACACGGATCGATGGGATTTTCTGCCATGCATTGCCCGGCCAACGCCCCTGTGGTTTGCATAGCAATTTCCTTTTCAAATGCGAGCACAATCCCGCGCGCGCTTCGGGGTCACGGTACTTTCATCGGGCAACCTTTGGCGTTCACCACAGTATTGCGATAAACTTATGGGAAACTCACGATTCACAGGGGAAGATACGTTTATACGAGCGTGTCCATACTTCGCGAACTATTAAATGTCATGTGAGCAAATAGTTCTCCTTGCCCTTGTCTCCTTTTTCCCCCTTTCCCTTCTACTTTCCAAATCATTCATTGGAGAGCTTCGGAAGAATATTCTTACATTATTATATAATTTATTATATATATTATATAATATATTATTAATTATAATTTATTATTATATAATTTATGCGATCCCTTCTATTTTCCAAATCATTCATTGGAGAGCTTCGGAAGAATATTCTTACATTATTATATAATTTATTATATATATTATATAATATAATTTCTTAAAGATGTGTATAAGAGACAGCTTCTATTTTCCAAATCATTCATTGGAGAGCTTCGGAAGAATATTCTTACATTATTATATAATTTATTATATATATTATATAATATAATTTCTTAAAGATGTGTATAAGAGACAGCTTCTATTTTCCAAATCATTCATTGGAGAGCTTCGGAAGAATATTCTTACATTATTATATAATTTATACGAATATTCTCACACTATTTTCAATTTACCGAAGCTGTTAAAAACAAGAAAATAGATTTTCAAGTACCTCGCGTTCCTTGCAATCAATGCGAAAGATCTTTATCTCGCGGTAAGACCCGCAATCCGTTAATAAGCAACGCAGATTTTTCGATACAAATCTAAGATTTATCCAAGATTTATCGCGATCATTTCCTACAATTCACTGCGAGCAATTCGAAAATTGCCAGTCGTCACGGACGCTGAGAAATCAGTCGTGTCGAAATCATCGCTCTACACGGTAATTTCTCCCTAATTCGCGCTCAAATTGCACACAAAAATGGACAATTTGGGGAAAAGAGATACGATTGTAATATGCGATTATAATAATCTCGCGGCTCGCTTTTCATAGTTACCGATGATCGACAACTATAAAAACGAACGCTGGAGGCTCGAACAATCGTGCCTCCTCTTCCCAAATTGTCCATCTTGTGCAATCCGAGCGCGAATCAGGGAGAAATTACCGTACACGTTTCTGGCGACGTCGCTTCGGCCCGAACGGAAGGAGACCGCTAGACAAAGGGACGATTATCTCATTATCCTGGCTCGCGAATAATACCCGTGCAACCGAACAGCGGGGAAAAATGCAGTTCGGCCGGCCGGCCGGCCGTTTACCGGCACCCGTGGCCGTACCCTGCGAACCCGTAAACCCGTGGGCCCGTGCTCGGGGCCCGGCACATACCAGTATTACGGGCGCGGCAAGGCAAACCAGCCATATCGGAGCAGGAACTCGATAACCTTAAAGGTGGGCCGAAAGAAATGCATACCGTAACGTTTCGCATCATGTCGCTGTCGTTTAAGAAAGTCGATCGGGGATTTAATTTACAGCCAACCGGGCGCAGCACCGGATGCAACGCGGCCGCGGTAGTTGCATACTTGTCGAGCCACTACCGTTCCTCAACCGTGTTACGCGCGGTCCTTGGCTCGCATTTCGTCAGAAACGCGTCGTATCTGCTTGTCGTATCGGTTCGATAACAGCAGTTACGCTAATAAGTAACACGGTTACACTCGGAAGCGTCTCTTTCTCGTTTGTTATTATAAACCGTGAAACGAATCAACGAATTCGTGAAGTTGCAAACGTCTGGACGAATCTCAAAATCGTACGTTGCATTTACAATTTTAGAACTTTACGATAGCTGGAACACTATTCTATGGACAACGAGTTCATCGTCGGCTGTCCGAATCGTTGCAGAACGTTCAGATTTTGCCGAGAAATTAATGTAGACAATGTTCTCCCGATGTTTTTAATAAATAAGAAATTTCAAGTCGTTTGCATGAATTTTCTAAGTCCAGAGAACTCGATGAAATGTTAGAGTGGCGTGAAGGATATAAATAAGAAATTTCAAATCGGTGATAAATTATAGAAAGAATTCTATAAGAGAAAAGAAAATTATTCTGCGACAAGAAGAATACAGAAAAATACGGGGAAATAGCATTTTTATTGGAATCACCCAAAGGTCATTCTTTGGGTCCAGTAAATCTCACGATTTACCTGAGAAATGATCGAATGCATCGGTATGTAACAATTGAAGAGTTAAGAAATGGCAAGTAAATGTGTGACTTTAACAACATTTTTCTGCCGCAAGATTATAGTTGCAACAATTGTCAGTAACCGTGACTCGTCTGCGTTGCCTTATAGAGATTCTAGTATTGAATTTATTTAGATCTTTTGCAATTGTTATATTAATATATGTTGGCATAAATAAATCTATCGAATGGTTTCCGGTGGACGTGTCTTTCATAGCTTCAATAACTGTAGAATAAGAATTGTCGAACCGGTCGTTTGACCAGCGATGGTACGGTTAGTATTATATATTATATTAGTATATATTATATTATTATATTATATTATATTATATTACATTATTATTATATTAGTATTATATATTATATATTTATGTATACATTTATAGCATAGAATCGTCTTCAAAAATCCCTTAAATAAGAATCATCGTTGCTCGCAACGTTTGTAACCTGTCGTGCAGAGAGTTTAACGATTCACTTTTTCAGTCCTGTTTTATTTATAAAGGTACATGGGTATACATTTCATTTTATGATTATGGCAGTAATAACTGACTCTGAGTAGCTGCGTGTGACATCAACAGTATAAAAGTAGTCCGAACAGCTGCTATTAGAGGCAGTGGCGTTGACCATTCACTCCTCACAACAAAACAGACGTAGAAAAACAAAAAAAAAAGAAAAGAAAAAGAAACGGAAGAAAGAACATTTATAAAGACAAAACCTCTCTCGTCTCGCGTATATACTCTAAACTTATGATATCTTAAAACACAGTTTTCTTCCTTTTAATGCTAATATGTGCCTCCTTAACACGTTTTATTTGAAATGATCGAAGCGAAGAAGTCGGACAAGTCCCGGAGAAAAGGCACTATACGTCTATTAAATATAGTATTCGACTCTCTCGATCGTGCAAAGTATGTACCACGATACAAAATTTGTGATCATTGTGTTTCGCATCTCCGCGCGTTCGCGTTTCCCCTCCTCGTAGCAAACAATTCTCCTCGGAGCCGAGTGAAAGAAAATTCTCAGATCGCCGATAGCGCTTCACCACGGAATTATAAATTTTTCGAATCGCCGCCGCCGCTCAGAAAACTCTTTTACGAATTCGATGGAATTTCAACGGCGCGTCCGGTTTCTAACGCCGCTTCCTGCCGAGAAAAAGCGGCTTAGATCGACCGCAAATCAAGGTTAATTGCACCTTCGTGGTTGGATTAAATTTCATTGCATCCTCGCCGGTCGGACTATCGTTGATTCGCGATCGGAACCGACGAACGAACGCCGCGAGTCGCGGGTTATAAAGTGAAAATCAACGCGCGCAATGATCGCGCGGAATTCGCGATACCGCGCGCGGTTTTACGATTTGACGCTTCAATCAGCGTTTCGCGTTCACGATGCGCAGCCGGTGCCGTTGCTACTTTCGTACTTGTACAGCCCAAACACTCTGATCTTTTTAATTTCGTATAAAAAAAGTTAAAAAATAAAAACGAGCTTTCATTTCTAAGCAAAATTGTAACAAAGCGGTTTAATCGCTCTCTAGCATACTAGACCCTCTGCCGTCTAAAAAAAGAATTCAAATCGATTATTCCAGTTTTAAAATAGTTATCGGGTTTTAAAAAGTGTCCGAATATCAATGTTACCCTAAACAATGTGCTGGAACTGTTGCCAGCGGAAAGGAACGAAGAAAGTCTATACAAAAATTATAGTACATTATTTCGAATTACGGCATCGTGAAGTTTCAAGTAAAAACTGCATTCGAAGCTTAGTACAACGGTCGGCACGTTTTGCAGCTTTTGAAGATCGACAGTTTCCCAAAATTACAATCGTCTCGGAAAGATTTACCATTCGCGAGTTTAACGACAAATCACGTCTCACTCCCGGGTCGGGCTGTACAGCAAATGTTTCATTTTACAACTGAAATTACGATTCTGAAGTAATTAGTATACTATACTATTAGTATACTATACTATTAGTATACTATACTATTAGTATACTATACTATTAGTATGCTAATTGGTATTAGTATACTATACTATTAGTATGCTAATTGGTATTAGTATACTATACTATTAGTATGCTAATTGGTATTAGTATACTATACTATTAGTATGCTAATTGGTATTAGTATACTATACTATTAGTACGCTAATTGGTATTAGTATACTATACTATTAGTATGCTAATTAGTATTAGTATACTGATTAGTATACTAATCAGCATATAAGCCTCTCGAGGGTGCAAGTATTTTCGCTCGGCGTTCCAAAGTTATTCTAAACGACGTACAAGCACGCGAAGTGTTCTCGTAATTACGTCAAGAGACAGAGGCCGGCATGTTCGTCTTTTGTTCTGTTCGCGATTTTTTTCGTCGCCGCGCTAATCAAAACGCTACACGTATAAACAACACACAGTAACCTCGTTGCACGAGCGCTCGAACGTTTTTTCCTCTTCATTTCTCCCCGAAAGTTACGCACGCAAAGTTTTCCTCTTTTTTTTATCATTCCGTTTTCCTTCGCCCTATCATTTTCATTTTCCCCTTTGTAACAATCGCAACTATTGTCGATTAAATTCTATATTGCACTAGCTATAATTATATAAAATATATATCTAACGGTAGGCTTAGCTTTTTTTTTTCTTTTCTTTTGAAGTATACCCTTTTTAGGCACAGTTATTCCGGAATTTGGTTTTGGATTCGAACGGAAGCCGGAAGTGGGTGGTATGTGACGAAGCAGGAGGCACGGCAGTTCGGTGGACGGCCAGCGTCGCACTGGCCGTCTCGTGATTCTATTTTCAAGAGAAAAGGAAGCGCCGTAGAGAAGCGAGTTCTATGAAGTCACTGGAAGAAACAGTTTGTTCGCAATGCAGGGGGTCTCTCTGTCGTCAGACGCTCGACAAACGAAGAATCATCATCGTTCGGCGATGATCTCTGCGCCCTTCTATCGCTTTTCCCGTTCAAACAAAGACAGCTGTGTCCTATATGTACAATTATTGTCGCCTAAAAATTTTGATTAACATTCGACGAAAACAAGAGCCCCTTCCAATCGCGTCCCTCCGCGAATGTTCTATTCGCAGCCGGGTCTACGACACAACTAGCAGAGAGAAGAAAGTCCGAGAATAATTAGAATCGTCGTATGGCTCGTTCAATTCGAAACGCAGAAGTCGGTTCTCGTTCGAAACGTTCCTCCTTTCGTTACCCGGTCAGGTGAACGCCGCGCGTTATATACGTCGAGTTCGAACAGAATCTTTGACTCATCCCTGGTTTAAGTACATACGGATACTTCAGGTACCAAGAACAATCGTTAACAATAAACAATACACTCCGGCACTGTAACTGAACGAAAAGAAAGAAAGAAAGAAGAAATTGATTCGAAGAAGAAAGAGAATCAAACGATTTTTAATTTGCCCTAAATTGCCTCGGAAATATAAACATTTGCGCTGCATGCATCGGTAATATGGTTTTTTTTTCTCTCTCAACACTTACGCTATACCACAGTAAAAACTACACGTTTGGTACTATAAATCGATAATGCGGCTAATAATATGTTGCCCCCGAAAGAAACGAGATAATCGAGCGTCGCTGCACGGAAAGTTAAGCGGACGAAAAACAAGGAAAAAAAAATCACATGATCGAAATATACTCTTAACTTTAATACGCTTTATATGCAGCTGGTATAATCATCCAATGATAAATGATTTTAACAATATAAAATATTCGTATACCTCTATTTTTAAACGAACATCTTATCGGAATAGCGTCCTTCGATAAATCATTTCCTACAAACGCAATGATCGCTTCAGCATGTTTCAAGAAACGAGACAACGAATTCTCCAGACCTTGGTATGTAAGTATTTTTTTTTAATAAAAGGAGAATGATAAGAAGAAGAAAAAGAAGAAAAAGAAGAAGAAGAAGAAGAAGAAGAAGAAGAAATAGAAGAAGAAGGAAAAGAAGAAGAAGAAATTACGATAGCATTGAGAACAAACCTGTACATCGAATAGCGGATACTGCTAATGATTAAAAATGGCGGGAAGCTAGCTATGTAGGAACGTATACTATTAAGTATAATCACATTTAAATACTGACGCAATAGTGAAGGTTCGTTAGCGTGCGAATCAATGTCGCGTCAATACCTAAATATTTTACGAATAACGTATGTATCTATGTATACATATATGCGGGACACACAGTAGTACATCTACGAATAGTCGAGTTTTCCTTAGTTTTTCCTGATATGTTGCATAATGCGAAAAATATTGTTCTCTGTTCCACTCTAACGGCGATGGCAAGCATATATATATGTGTATATATATTGATTGGTTCACTGAAAAAACGGGCTTGTCGGGTTTTTCGACACCGAGGCAACGGAAAAATTCTTCGTCGACCAACCTCCGCAGGACTGACCCCCCTCCCCTCCCTCACTCACTCCCTCGCTCCCACAGATGTTCGTACAACGAACATACTACTGTGCATCTCTCCCTTAATAAATCAGTACATATTCATTACAATCACAATATGCATGACATCCTATGCAAAAAGTTCTGGTCGAAATGGAGTGGAGAACTTGTACTATGGTAAGACACGAATCGATGGTACATATTGACAGGGGGGATAATTCTAGCTGCATAATCCCGACGGATCAACGAGCCCGCGCGCAATCAGCTCGGCTGTTGCTGGGTCGCCGGCCTGTTTGCCGCTCGAGTGCTGGGGAGGAGTCTGCTGTGCATGAGGCTCGAAATGGGAACGAACGTGGAACATAAATTCAGCCTTATCCGTGAAATCTGTACGACACATCAGACAGAAATGCCTTTCCGAGGCGTACGGTTGCGGCGGCGCCGCGGATCCTGGGAAATACGGCGCCGCGTGTTGCGGCGGGGCCGACGCTTCCAAATGGGACCTATAACAGAAAAAGGAAAACGACAATCTCCGATGGCTCGCGATCGAGAGAAGATCGCGCCGCGCGTTCTTCCGAAGTCCCATTGGAAGAAATGAAAATTACCGAGCGTGCTGCATCCATTCTTCCCTTGTAGCCAGTGCTCGACCGCACAGCTCGCACGCCCAACTGACCGGCTCCTCTTTCAGCTTGTGTATAGTGTCCGGGCGAGATTGTTGCTGCTGCTGTTGCTGTTGCTGCTGCTGGGCCTGCTGCTGTTGCTGCTGCTGCTGCTGCTGGGCCTGCTGCTGTTGCTGATCCGAGTTCGGCACGGTCGGCGTGGAGAGCGGCGCCACCCCCGGTCTATGTCTCAGCTTGTTCATATGAATAACTAGCTTATCTCTACGCGCGAACGCTTTTCCTGCAAAACGATGACAATTGGATGAAACTCGTTATCAAAGGTTCTCGCGAATCGGTGGAAAGCGCGACGACCGTGTCAGGATACTCACCGCAAACTTCGCAAGAGTACGGCTTCTCCCCGGTGTGGATGCGCATGTGTATGACAAGTTTGTCCTTGCGGGCCAGGCCCTTGCCGCAAACCGTGCAGGCAAACGCTTTGGTCGCCGGTTCGCCCGTGTTGGTGGCTTTCGACGCGAACCCCGGACGAGAAGGTACGTTGTTCGTCGTTCTCAGCGGCTGGTTCACGGTCGGGGCCCTGCTGCCGAACTGCTGGTCCATTGCGCCGGGGAACGGGGCCATCACTCCGCCCGGGCGCATCGCTGCAGAGTAATCTGGAGACCTGTGTTAAAGTTCATACGATTGCGACACGCCGTTGCTATTGTACAAGTCCGAGTATATTAACTTCGCAGAGCAGAGAACTCGATTACTCACCAGGTCCCGATCGACCGGAGCACCCGCACCCCGTCGTCGTAGCCAAGGCCGTCGTCCGGCAACGTGAACGTTGGGTTCGGGGTCTGCGGTGTTGCTGGCGGGCCTGGTCCCGCGAGCCTCGCCTGTGCAGCTTGTTGTGCCATGTGCTGTTGCACGGCAGCGTGGGCCACCGCGTGCGCCTCTACGTAAGCGGACCGCTGCTGTTGCTGCTGGCTACCATTGGACATCTTGTCTTTGTCCGCGCCCTATTAATCGTTCATTTGCTCCTGTATCGCAACGGCTACACTCTACGCCGACGCACGAGTTACGCCGCACGATGTACAGAGTGTACGATTTGGACAAAGCGTACAATTTGTACGCTCGAAGCGTACAAAGTGTGCAAAGTGTACAATTTTTACAAAGCGTACAATTTGTACAATTTTTATAAAGTGTGCAAAGTGTACAGAATGTACAATTTTTACAAAGCGTACAAAGTGTGCAAAGCGTACAATTTTTACAAAGCGTACAAACTGTACAAAACTGTGCAAAGTGCACAAAGTGTACAAAACTGTACAAGACGTACAAAGCGTACAATTTGTACAAAGTGTATAAAATGTACAAAGCGCACAATTTGTACAAAGTGTATAAAATGTACAAAGCGTTCAATTTGTACAAAGTGTATAAAATGTACAAAGCGCACAATTTGTACAAAGTGTATAAAATGTACAAATCGTACAAAATCAAATGTTACAAAGTGTGCAAAGAGTACAGAGTAACTCGGCGACCCCTCGTTCGAGACGCGCAATCAGACCAGTATTCCAGAGATTGTCGCGTCGGCTAGACGACCTAATATCTCCGCCCCGTTTATCAAACGGTCGATTAAAGGTTTTCTTCAAAGGTTTATCGAGCGACTATCGAAACGGTGGTACATGGAAGATTCTCCTACGCGGGCGCAACGAAGTACCATAATCGTGGAATAGGGTAAGAAGGTGAACGAGTTGGGTGAAGTTCGATTGAAAGGAACTCTCGAGAAAAACTTGTAAGCTCCGGAACGGTGTTGGTTCGGCGAAGTGTACACGTGGTGGTTGCCACTCCGGCCTCGAGTAGCATCGAAAGAGCAGCAATTAGCATTTATCTGTAACCGGGGTGGGTGAGGGGGGGGGGGACACGGGAGTCACGGTTAAGGAGATATCGCGTTTTTACGTGCCGTATCTGAAAACGACGGGATTCGAATGTCAATAAACTCCGCCCACGATCGAAAAATAATAAGTTTACGATCGTCGTCGAACGGAACGCTCTCGCTCGGAAAGAAGATAAAGCAGCCGGGCCGAGCGAGCAAGCACAGCACAGCGTCCAGCCGAGAATCTAGCGATTCTTCGGGGATCTTTCGAACTCGGCCGGGAATTGTATTCGCGGCACGACCGGCAGGAACGAAAATAACGGTCGTGGAACAATAGTTAACAGTGTACGGCCTTGTGCGCGCACCCCGTCGTAATGCATCGCCGCCGCTGCAAAATCGAACGCGGCCTACACCGGCCGAACAATATTTCGCGATATTTCTATCAGGCCGCGCACAAAAGCGTAACGGCTTCGGAGCCAATATGGGAAAACGATTAATCACGGGGACACAGAAGCGAGCGGAGAGCGCGCGCGGAGAGGCGCATTCTGTGCCAAATATCTGTTAACGATAATCGATATTTAGTAGAAACAGAGTACATATCGCGGGCTCGCGCTTCTCCGCGAGATCGTGCGCCCGCTTTTCGAGAATCGTCGCGAAGAGCCGCCCCGAAAAATCACTTCGGACCGCGGTGTGCAACAATTGTTCGCCGAAACGCGAATTCGCCGGCCGACGAATCGTTCCCGTCTCGGCTCCGGATATGTCCAACAACGTCTCGACGCGATCGGGAAATCGGGGAAACGCTCGAACGGGACGGAAACAAACGATAAATTCGTCCACGTGACGATCGTTCCCGAAGGCGGCGCGTCGGGAGAGCGTCGAGGAATCGCCGGGGAACATCACGGGAGCCTGCATCCCCGGAGAACCACGTCGAATACATAAAAGAGAAGAACTTTCGAAGCAGCCGAAAAGATCTTTCGAAGCAGGCTCCTCACCGTCAAGGTCCGCCGGGAGAGAACGATGACCGAAAAGAGAGACAAAGGGAGACAGACGCAGAGAGGCAGGGAACGAGAACGCGCGCGCGAGAGAGAGAAAGAGAGAAAGAGAGAGAGAGAGAGAGACGAGTCGAGGGGAAGAGACGGGAAAGAAGGGTCGGTTGGTGGAAGAGAGACAGAAGGAGCTCGGCTTACAAAGCCAGACACGATCGTTCCCACAAAAGACGGGAAAAGTTATCCGGGGCTATCTTTCGCGCTCACATACCTACGGTTCGACGGGATGCAGAGACGAGGAGTGAAAAAACGCAAGGCTCCGATCAATGGGGAGACACGGTCGGAGACGTCCTGGAGGAAACGCGCGATATCACTGGGGATGTCACACAAGCGATCGGTAGTGGAGCACGTCACTTTGTCCTGGTTCCCATGCCGGTGGTGGTCGCCGAACTGGGTGAAAAAAATCGGGACTACGAGGCTGTCGGCTCGTCTGGCGCTGGTCTCTCCTCTCCGGCTCTGTTTCCCGATGCACACAAGGATCACCCCGATCGGCGGTTCGGCTAGACTCGAACCGGGCCCTTTCTCGAGAGAGAAAGAGGATTATCGGTCTCGGCACGCGCGTTCTTTCTTTTCGCGACGCCACGAAAGAATCTCGCGTTTTACGGGGCAACCGGAGTGTGTCCCGTGGAGCTAGCCGCCGATTCCCGGCGCGGGAGGATGTAAGGACAAAGAGACGAAAAAAACCGCCTGGCGGGCGAGCAGAGGGGATAGCCGCGAGAGCGAGAGACAGACACGAAGAGAGAGAGAGAGCGAAAGAGAGAGAGACTGAGGGAGGGCTGGCAAGGGGGGAGAGAGACACAGGGATGGAAGGAGAGCAGAGAGCCGGGGTAAGCCGAAGGGAGACGGAGCGACGAGGGTACGCGAGGGAAGAACAGAGCTAGCCAATCACGGGAACGGGGGAGCAGGAAAGAAAGAGAGAGAGAGAGAGAGAGAGAGAGAGAGAAAGAGAGCACGGCTAAGAAAGCGGAGATAGAAAGGGACGAAATAGCCGGTGACACACGAATGCAGCGCGGCGTAACGATATCGAGTGGAGGTCCCCGCGGAATGCACCGTGCCGGAGAGCAGCGCGGGCCTTGGCGAGCGAGAAGAAAAACGGGCGATAGGGTAAAACAACGGCCGCGGGAGAGAAACGGACCGGGAATCGTGGGGAACACGAAGTGGAGCCGTATTATACTTCGGCAACTTTTACGAAAAATCGTCGCGTAATCGTTCTCGCGGGACGCGCGAGTTTACCGGCGGGAGGTTTTCGCGGCTACAGGGGATGAGGAGGAAGGAGGAGGAGAAGGTTGAGAAGGAGGATGCGGGGGAGGGATCGCGGGTTTACAACGACGAAGTGGCACGACAGGGTGGCGCGCACGGCCTCTGAATGACACTGAACGGAGAGGAAAAAAAGAAAGAATAGAGAGGATCGGGAGAAGCGATACACGGACGAGACAGCGCGGTGCAACGATATCGAATGGTGATCCCCGCGGAACGTATCGTGGCCAGCGCGACGTCGAGAGCGAGGGAGGCGAAAGGGGAACGGGGGGAGATAGGGTGGATCGCGGCCGCGGGGAGGAACGGCGGGGAAAAGGGAGCAGGGGCGAAGGGGGGAAGGAAAGAAAGACAGGGAAGCCCTAGAGGAGACAAGTATGCGCGCGAAGAGACCGTGTATACCTTGCGTCTCGTGTACACAGACTACCGTGTGACTCGGCTGCCGGATACACACAATGACGGAAGAGAGCAGCGTAGCAGTAGTCGACGGCGGCGTCGGAGGCGGCGGCGGCGGCGGCGGTGGCGGCGGTGGCGGCGGCGCTCTGCAGTGCGTCGGCCCGCTGACCTTGACACTGACATTGACTGAGCGAGCGAGAGAGACGAGCCGGGAGGCGAGGGGGAGACGTACATATCGTCGAACGATACGCGCGATTAAGCGAAACTAAACGCGAGACGGTACGTCGCGTCGCGTCGGGAGTCCCCGTGCGAACGTTGAGGAACGAGACAGTCGCGAAGAAAGGAGACAGAGAAAGACGCAAAGAGAGAGACGGAGAGAAAGAGAGAGAGGGACATAGCGACATAGAGAGAAAGAGACCGGCACAGCTTCCTCGGATTTCTTTGGCCGAGCTGGCCCCCTCGTCGAACCGAACGCGGGATCAACGATCAACCCGGGTAACGAGAGACTTCGTCGAGACCGTTTACGACGTTTATTCGAAAGTCTAGAAACAGGTTTTCAGAGATGCAGACCTGTGGCACGGCTCCTCGTTGCACCTGTGCCCGGGACAAGGAGATCCAAGGGGTCAACCAGAAAGGGGTGGGGATCGAACAATCTTGGATTGGGGAGCGACGAGACTTGCGGAGCGAGAGAGAGAAAAATGGAAATGCTGCGAGAAGGACGGGAACGGCTTAAAAGATGAGGAGAGCAGGGCCGCGGCGGCGGCGGAGGGACCACGAAGAGAGAAGGAACGAACGACGACGACGACGACGACGGCGGCAGAGAGGGAAGACGCGGCGCGCGGTATCGAAGGAAAGGGAAAGAAAGAGGGGACTAGGCGAGACGTCGAAGAAAAGGAGAACTGACTTTCGCTTTCTGTGCGCGACGCAGCCTAGCCGCGGAGCGTCGATCAATAGCGCCGCGACGGTTGCACACACGTACGTGCATGCACGGATATCAACCTACCATCCTCGGTGCTCGCGTGATCCGTCTCTCTCTCCCCCTATCTCTCTCTCTCTCTCTCTCTCTCTCTCTCTCTCTCTCTCTCGCCCTATCTACTCATCCGTGGTGGTTATCTGTATATTATCCCCTCCACCCGTTGTCTCGACCGACGAGTCGCGTGTGTGAGGGTGGAATTATTGGGATCACGCTTCGTTGGACAACGAAGGGGTAGAGCGACGGAGAGAGAACCAAGGACCTCTGGCTACCGATCAGCGACGCCCCCTGTTCTCTCTCTGCTCCGTCCTCGTCGCTCCGTTTCGCGCGCCTACCAGCTCTTCCTCGTCCCTCGCGTTTCTCTCGCGCGAGTCCGGCCTGTTCATCGGTTATCGAGTGTACGTAGGGTACCTACTACGAGAAGCGGAATCGGAAGAAGGTGGAACGGAGGAGGAGGAGGCGGCTCGTATAGGTGGTACACGCCAGAGCAGGACGCGAGCGCGTGTCGCGTAAAGGGCTTTTTACGCGGGGCTCGAAATGTGGAACTCGTGTCGGCCACCCATCCGACGCATAAACTCACTTTAACGCGTCGTGTCGGAAATTGCCGCGGGAGTTTATGAGCTTGTAAAGAGAGTCACCGGTACACTTCCTAGAGGATACGTACGGAGAGCGCGCGACTCGGATAACCCGGTTCCCCGGCTATCCGTGTCCGGCTTGTACGACTATAAATTCCTCCGGTGCCACCCGCCTCGCCGCCCGATCTCTCCCCCGGCCGCTTAGCCACCCACTTAGCCGCCAACTTAGTTTCACCCGCCCAGCGCACCCCATCCGGCGGAACCGAAAAAAATTAGCGAACCTCCTCCACACGGCATCGCGACGCGGATTCTTCCCCGCGCGCGGCGGCGGCGGCGGCTCCGCCGTCACGAGTTTTAATGTACCTTTATTAAGCGCGTTGTCGCCTCCGTTTGTACGGCACTTGTTCTCCCCCCAGTCGTAAAGCACGTGGCCACGCGGAGTTTAAACGTGTCCGATGTCTCGTGAAATCAATTAGAAGCAAATAAACTGGTAACCGTAAACAGGGCCCCGCGCGCGCTATGAATCGCGCGTACGCCGCCGTCCGCCGCTATATATTTAGCGGCGGAACGTTATGAATAATTTCACTGTCCCTCGGTTATCGAATGTTTCAATCGTATTATTCAAATGGTATGTGTACACGCGTGTGTCTGTTGTACACCGTGTACGGCTGCGCCTCGGTATAATTGGCGAATTTACATTCAGCGCCGCGCATAATTGGATTCTTCAGGTGTGGCGCAAACAAGAAATGTTGGAAAATTGAATTACCCTCGCACGCGCGTCTTTTATTTGCCCCGTTGCGCCCGGCTATACACGCTAAATGAAATTTTTAAGTCTCTTAAACACGAACGGGGGCGAGTAGTAGTATCCCTAACGCCGGGTTTTAAATACGAAGCGGGTCCGTTACTCCATTTTTTTTTGTCCTTTTTCAGCTGTGACGCGAAATTATTTTATTATACTTGTCGGCCGTTTCGCGAATCTTGCTCGTCGCGCCGTGACTCGGATGTTTTTTCACAGCCGTTGAACCGCGCGTGTAACGTTTACATGCGAGTAACAAGTCGTTCTAAAGAGGTTTTTTTGGGGTTTTGGAAATAATTTTTTTCTCGTCGAGAGAAGGACCTATGTAGGTTGGAATAGTACATAACATTATCGAGAATGAAATGTTCCCGAGTTGTAATTTACGTCTACATTAATAGGTACATACAATTATAATTATCCCACGCGTATTTTTGTACACACAGGTCTTATGTAGAGAAATAGGTATTTCTCTTATTCTCTTATTATATCCCACGCGTATTTCTGTACACAGGTCTTATGTAGAGAAATACCTATATTTCTCTACATAAGACCTGTGTACAGAAATGCGCGTGGGATAATTATAATTGTATGTAACTAATGCGGACGTAAATTACAACTCGGGAACATTTCATTCGATAATGTTATGTATCTAGATATTGTTCGTCGCTGATACAGCTTGAATATTGTACCCGATAAAATAGCGGGCTAAACATTCTAGTAAACCACGGTTAAACCACGTACCACTAACGAAATTCTAATTTCATTTCATCTTCAGTACTGTCTATCTTGAGAAAATCATTTTACTTGGGTGCTGAGTGATGAAAATAATTGAACTTTTTGCCCTGAGAATATTTATACGGTACTTCAAGATCGTTAAAAATTAATTTCATTAAAATACGGTATGTTATTTGTGAACATAGATTAAATAAGATTAAACGAATAATACTAAATTGATAAAAATAGAATAATTACTATTTATTTGATAGATCATAGCGCGTCGAGTTTACTTCTACTCGTTTACGCGATACGAATTTCGTGGATACGTTGTTATTATTAAATGTGCGAATTCAGTTAGTTTTATAATTACATGTTTCGATAACGTAAATTTGCTTTACAATTTGCACGTGTATCATAAATTGAAGTAGAGATGCCAATGGAAGCATGTACAGGGTGTCTCGCAACATGGCGACATCAAATAACTCATCGAATATTCGTTGTACGAAAAAATGTTTTAAGAGTTGCATGGTTTTACTGTAATCAGTTTTACGTTATTTTGCTTCTTCATCAAAATATGGGGATCGCTTTCAATTGTTTAAAATGGATTGATTTATATTTCTTCTCGAATTCGGATAAAGCGTCGAATTCTACGTTAAAAAGTATTGTACCAAATAGCTATTAAAATATTAACAAAGACCGTTAATCAACGCTTTACTTTAGATAATAATAATAATACTTTTCTTGTATAGAATTTAATGCTTTATCCGAATTCGGGAAGAAAGGTAAACGATTCCACATAAAAAACGGTGACCTTCGTGTTTCGACAAAAGAGCAAAATCGCGTAAAGCTAATTTCAGTACTATATGTCCCCTTGTAAACCATGCAACTACCATCCGAAACATATTCTCGTACGACGAATATTTTATGAGGTTTTTTTATGTCGTTACGTTACGAGATTCACCCCGCATAAAATAGGCAAGTACAAATTGTTCTGCTTGCAATAAAGACCCAGCAAAGAAAACTGAAATATTATGTACTTACCTGATTCACCGATGCGGCAAGATGCTTCAAGCTATCCGCGTAATTTTTTAACACCGTGTCCGTGGTCATACAGCTCACACGAAACTCATAAAACATATCCAGTTTATACACGCATCTCTGGCAGATATTTTTTGGTAGTCCATCCTCTTTAGTTATCTGCAATTCATTAACTATTTCAGTGCGTTGCTCGTAAAAAATAAAATCGGAATATAATTTCGTTCCGATTTATCGCGCGTGTGTGTTAGTGATTTATTTTTAATCGATTATCGCAATTATGCCAATTTGCCGCAGTACTTTATTTTCAGCGGTGCGTTATCCGTCGTTTGAAATGTAAAAATACTTTTATGTTGAGAATTAAAACGTAATTACGTTAACAAAATAATGTGCGTCGTAAATATTCATAATATTATCCTTTGTGTACAGATTTTACGAGAAACATTAACCAACCACTTTATTTGTGCAAATATATTGTAAGAAACTAGAAGAATGATTGCAAAATAATTTTTTTTCATTCTAGCAAGCATATTCTTTTTTGCTACAATTGATAGAAATCAGCGTTGGAAAGTAACATTTTCAAATCCGTATCAAACCAAAATAAAGGTTCAAATAAAGGTTCAAAAAATAAATGTTCTATCCAATTTTCCTGAAATATAAAAATAAATGAGATTCTTCTTATTTTCCTGAAAACGATAATGTCTAGTTTTCGATACTTGATTCAACTCGTCTAATGAAATCTGCATTCTTACGTAGCCTAAAGAAAGAAAGAAAATATAAGAAATCTCGCTTAATACAAAAATACATTGTGCTTTGTGCATTCATATAAGTATAACCAGATAAACATTAATTCCCCGCAAAGCCAAATTTTGGTTTTATTCGATCAAAATCCTAAATCCTGTGCCATCGTGCAACGTAAATAGTCCAACAAGCTCAAGCTAACATTAATAATCGAAACATTACATTTTTAACATCTCTCTAATAGACCTTACGACAAGTTTATACTGTGCTCAGAGTTATGCCCTGTTCCTTTAAAACTTTAATACACCATAAAGCAAAACTTGTGACTAAATCTTCAAACAGCTGTACTTATGACAATGTGTGTTTAGATTTCTGTGATCGATGATATTTAACAAAATCTCGACGCTGCGGAAAACAGATTTCTGCGTCCGATTACATAAATGTATAACGCAGTCGATTATAACTCAAATTGTATGGAAAGGCTGTTAAGTGGGCCACAATGAAAGCATCTTTGACTCACCACAGTAGGTATACAGGAACGTATTTTGAATAGTAACTGCCGCTGCTCGCCTTCCTTATCAAAAATTTGGAGCTGGTGACTGCTTTTCAGTGAACAAAGCCTACACAACTCAGCGAAATTGAAATCTTCGTTCATAGCCATTATTTCAAATCGCGGTTAAAACACAAGCGTTCAATGATTGGATAGGTTATGTCGACCGTGACCGTACTTCTTCCAGCAATGCTTTTTATGTGTTACAGATCACGGTCAGCGTAACAGAAAATTACTATCGATTGGAATATGTTGGCAAACAAAAATTGTCTCGGTGCCGACGAATTTGAACAAATACGAATCCTTAACAAAACTAAACTAACAGTCATTTGATCAAGACATTTGAGCCTTCCCTGTCGCTACTGTTGTCCAGCATGAACGATGCCTGGCTCCACATTGCGCGATGCCGAACCACCTACAAAGGGGCGCACGAATTAACAGTAACACGTATCTGTTGATAAAACAGTTGAAAACAATAACAAACAAGATTGTTTAAAGCTTGTTTCACGTTTCGATATGTAACAGAGCATATTTATAGATTTTAATACACTGAATATGAATCTAATAATTATTCGCCTCTGTCATCTTCGGTTTTAGGGATATTCAAGGTTAGAATCGCCCACCCTTACCTTAGTTACACACTTTAGCGAATCAGTGAAGCAAATTGCTCAATGGAATTTAAATATTTTGTGATATACAGTAAAGATGTCGTCGTGTGCAATATCGATTCAATGTTTCGATGTGATAAATAAAATTGAAGATTCGTGTCCTTAAATATGTTCCTTTAAAAAATATTACTGCTATATCTACAGGTGGTAGTTTCTCTAAATCAAGATATATAAAAAATGATTCATGTACTATTATGTCTCAGAAAAAAATATGATCTAATTTAACATTATTATCTACGTGAGAATTTAAATTAAATTTTAAAATTTAACTCAAAAAAATTAATTAACTTAAATAATTAATTAACTCAAGTAAATTTAACTCAAACGTGAGAATTTTAATTACGAAGATATAATTAATGACTTCGATCACTTAAAATTGAAAGTCTCCCGTTTACGACGATCGTCTAAAAGTTCATGCGTGTTTTATTAGTCCTGAGTTATCGCAGTTCGAACGATTTATTATTAATTACTAATAATGTTCCTTGCAAAAATTATTTCCGCTTCTTTCAATGATTTATCAAACACGAATAGAAAAATATACGATCTCGACGCTATTAATGCACATAGAATGTAGGGTATCGATCGCAAAGGGGACGAATAGGGTAAAAGAAACAATTTCTATTTTCATGGTATCAGATTTGTTTGAGCGATATAACCGACGTTATAAAGAATTAATATGATCGTGTACGCTTGTACGTAAATCTGCAGAAGCGCATGAAAATATTATAAGTATCGTTAGCTGGCACTATTGGAAACACGCTGTCTGCAGTGCAAGCGCGGTTTATTGCGATTGCTCAAACGTACACAAAAATTACAATCTATAATAAATTAAAATACACGAAAACAAAGCATAAAGTACGTTGATCAAGTTACGAACGGATAATAATTGAATAATAATAATAACTTATACAATAATAATAGTAACCAATTAATGACGAAAATATTGCGAATTCTTTTGCGACAACAAGTGAATATAAACGAACAATGATTCTCGTCAGTGCAATTGGAATCATATTATTTGCGTGTGGTCTATTACTTTACATCGAACAATACATGACGTCTTTTCTATTGTCCACAATGCAAGCAGTAAGTACCATTATTATATCGCATGTATTGGGTTGGCAAAACTAAGTAATTGCCGATTTGTTCAATGAAATAAAAAATTCTTTTTTACTTGGAACGAAGTTTAATCTGTAATGTCTGTCTCTTATACACATCTAGATGTGTATAAGAGACAGGCCGTACACGGTGTACAACAGACACACGCGTGTACACATACCACTGTCTCTTATACACATCTAGATGTGTATAAGAGACAGGCCGTACACGGTGTACAACAGACACACGCGTGTACACATACCACTGTCTCTTATACACATCTAGATGTGTATAAGAGACAGGCCGTACACGGTGTACAACAGACACACGCGTGTACACATACCACTGTCTCTTATACACATCTAGATGTGTATAAGAGACAGGCCGTACACGGTGTACAACAGACACACGCGTGTACACATACCACTGTCTCTTATACACATCTAGATGTGTATAAGAGACAGGCCGTACACGGTGTACAACAGACACACGCGTGTACACATACCACTGTCTCTTATACACATCTAGATGTGTATAAGAGACAGGCCGTACACGGTGTACAACAGACACACGCGTGTACACATACCACTGTCTCTTATACACATCTAGATGTGTATAAGAGACAGGCCGTACACGGTGTACAACAGACACACGCGTGTACACATACCACTGTCTCTTATACACATCTAGATGTGTATAAGAGACAGGCCGTACACGGTGTACAACAGACACACGCGTGTACACATACCACTGTCTCTTATACACATCTAGATGTGTATAAGAGACAGGGGCTATACGGTGGGTGTAACATCAATTCCCAACCAATATCCATCAATTTTTGCCGAGTGGACAAAGACGTGTGCGGCCTAGCATTGCCCTGCTGGAAAATGACATCTTTACGATTAACCAATTCTGGTCGCTTTCCCTTGACCGCTGCATTCAATTTGTCCAGTTGCTAACATTCACGGATAATAAAAAATAACATAATAATAATAATAATTTTATAATATAACATTTACGGATATCATAAAAATGGGAGTGAGAGACATCTATAACTGAAATCGGCAGTTATTTAGTTGCCAACCCAATAATTATTATATAAGCGTATACACATTGTAAAACAATCATTTTTAGAATCTGCCACTGGTAGAAGGTTCAATCGGCTATAAGGCGTATATCTCGCCTTTATCGTTAAGTTTCTCATGTTATTTGTTTAATGTCACGAATCCCGACGAAATAATGCGCGGAGAAAAGCCGAATCTGGTCGAACATGGACCTTACGTATACAAGTAAGAGTGACAAATTTTCTAAAAATTGCCACAGTAATTTCTCCCTAATTACATTCTCCCAAATTTACATTTTTCTTCGTGAAAAGCGAGAACTTCCAAAGATATGTGCAAGAAATAGACGAGGAAATGGACGAAATAACATACGTTACAAGAACAATGTACACTTTCAACAAGGAAAAAAGCGTGAAAGAATCTAGTCGCGATAAAGTCACGATACTAAATCCGTTATACGTGGGCTTCGTGAACGCGGTAAGGAAAACGGGCAACGTCATAATCTACGGTCTCCGAAAGTATGCAAAATTTACGTTAGCTGGATCTGTTTCGAAATTAAAAGTCTCCCTAATCCCTTTGTAAAGTCCCCCTAATTGACGCTCGGATTGTTCATTTTTGTGCGTCAATTAAGAAGGATTTTACTGTAGTACAACAACAAGCAACAATTATTTGCAATTATTTCGTAGAAAAATCAGTGACAAAATCGTGTTTATTATCCAATTCGCAGCTACGAATCTTGCGTATTATCGATACAAAAATATTAAATATAATTTAATAAAGTCATAAAAATAATAATAAATATAATTTAATGAAGTCATCTTTAACGTCCTACAACAGCTATCGGGCCTACCTCCAAATTTTATGCAACAATACGGAAATCACTTGCCCAAATTATTTCCAAATCGCAGTAGTATATTTATGAAGGCTCGCGGCACCGACATACTCTTCAACGGAGTAAAGGTAACATGCAACAGAGTCAAGTATCCTGACTTGAAGCTCATATGCATGCAGTTGGCGAGTAGTAAACGGCCACCGGTCTTACGAGCGACCGACGAAGACGATGTCTATCTGTTCAGTTTGTTCCAAAAGGTGAGTTATGTACCACGAGGAAAAGATAAAACGGTGGACCCAGGTCCTATGAACGTAGCGATATGTACCAGGTTTCTGTAACAACCAGACAAACGATACCATCCGTGGGCCATACACCGTTAACAGAGGTTTCAAAAATCTAAGTCTACTCGGCGACACAACTTCTTTCATGGGAGAAAGAGAGCAAGAACTATGGCCAGAACCGTGTAATAAAGTCCAAGGGAGAGACAGCATCACTTGGGCGCCATTGCTGAAACGATTATCTTACGTTACAATGTTTTCGCCGGATCTATGCAGGTCGGAATATATAAACTATTATATAAATAATATATTATTATATATTATATTATATTATATTATACTATATTATATTATATTATACTATATTATATTATATTATACTATATTATATTATATTATAATATATTATTATATAAATAATATAAAGTCTTCAACACCGTGCTAATTATTCCAATTGTATGACTATAATGAGACGATACTACAATCTAATATATGTTAACTGAAAATAATAAATCATATGTATATATAATAATATATAATAATATATAATAATAATAATAATATAATAATGATATATATAATAATTGTACATCGTTCAAACGACAGGAGTATAGAAGCTGATTACGACAGGGATGTTACTATACATGGCATGATAGGATGGAAATATACCGTGCAGGAACGCGTGTGGTATCTGAACAATTCGCAGTGTTACTGTCCAATAAAGAATGATTCAGTAAAATGCCTGCAAGAGGGCTTGTACGATGCGACCGAATGCCAGCAGGCAATCTTATTTTCTATTATATAACATTACATAAAAATCGTGCGACACTATCGTATTACGTTTAACCAGGAGAGCTGCCGGAATCGGAGAAAGTATAGAAATCTGTTTGCAAAACGGACTTTCGTTTCTTATGTAAAATATGTGCCAAGCATTGTTCTACATTTAGAGAGCAAGCCACGGTCGCGCCTTGAAAATAATAATATTCAACTGTTTATTACAAGTACAGTAAATTCTCAAGAACAAAGGCAAATTTTGTAAAACGTCGTCAAGGTTTTTCAGTGTAGTGTGCATATTGCTCTTGATCCGGGTATTTTTCTAACACCGGCGGTTCTTCATGCAAGTCCATCGTCTATTATCTTGCGATCTCCGTGATTTATACTTTGCAGAAAGCACCTATAATAGTTTCGGAACCGCATTTTCTTCACGGTGACCCGAAACTTCTCGCATATGCCGGCGGTTTGAAACCTGTCGAAGAACTTCATTCGATGTATGTTGTCATCGAACCATACACTGGATTTCCCCTCGAGGGTGTGAAGAAGTCACAACTGAACGTGGAGTTGGTTAAACAACCGCTCGATCTTCTCGCGAACGTCAGCGAAGGCACTTTTCCTCTGGTGTGGTTCTCGAGTGTAAGCTTTTTTCAAACATTGTACATCGTTTGGACACGTTTCACGAGTTCGGAGGCGCGCGTAAAAATTTATATTCATCATAAATATTAATTCACTCAATATATTCATTATTATTATTATATATTATATACCATATATTATATATTATATACTATATACTATATATTATATATTATATATTATTATCATTATGATTTCAGAGATTTCAAAGATCACCAGCAATGGTGATCTTAGTACATCCAAATATTGAAGAATTTTTTATATTTCTTTATAATTGCGACTAATCTCTCTTGCAAATATACGTAAACACATAGACCGACGTCATTGAACTCGAACGGTTCAATGCTAAGTGAACAAGTAAAAAGCAAAGTATCTTCAAAATATTTTATTTCTCTTATATTTGTTTTTTTTTCTTATGCAATCTGATCGCTTCTCGCTATTTTTCGTCACACAGGATAATATCTCCGCGTGCCTGGAAGCACGGTATTTCGTCGCGTTACAATATAAATTACAATATAAATTAATCTAGTTTTCGAAGCGGTACAAATATAATCAATACTTTACAGGGAACCACGTCAACGTTTAAAGTAGCATCGCAAGCGTATCAAACAATCCGGCTGTTAAATCTCTTTCACTTTCTGCAACTGATGCCCTTGATAGTAGGGATTTACATGGTTCTGGTCGGTCTACTTTTGTACAATGGGACGTGGGGCAAAGTGGAATCGACGGAGACCACAGGCGAACCGATATTAATATCGTCGAACTCGCAATTGTACGACAGATCCCGTGGGCCTTCGCGACGGCCCGTACACGTGTTCGAGAGATTTCAACGCGTGTACCCTTCCTCGTAGAATGGAAGACGTGCGAACACGGTGATCACATTTCACAAAGAGACCCGTTTGTTGCACACCTCTGCTTGTCGATTATCACGCTAAACGCGGACTACACGGAACTGAAAGTGTAACGCAGAATTATTATTCAATTATTGTTTTTGTAATTCAATTTTTTGTTTCTAATTTTTTTAATTTAATTATTTACATTTCTCCCAGTTTCTTTTTACCACTCGACTTCGATCTCTTTCGCTTAACTGCGCGCCATTTGTATGTACAATTATGCGACAGCGTGTCATAAACGATTCAGTCAAAATCTGAAGTTCCTTTAGCGAGCTTCTGAAGTCGGATGTTCCATGTCATTCTTCGCAAAACATTCACCGTGTAACAATACTTATAACAAAACGTGTAAAAGCACTATCGCTCTTCGCGATCGATATTTATTTATTAGAAACTATGATAAATCCATCATGGTCAGGCGAAACATTAAAAAAAGAAATCACATTAGATGCGAACCGATACATTTGTCTTACTAAAAGTATAGTAAACTACATGCTAACTGGTACCCTTATATACCTAATACGATGATATTGCAAACGACAATGATCTCATTCTCTGCCGGAACGAGGAATGCTGAAGAATTTCGATGAATACTGTAACAAAACAGGTTTTTAGCCAGTGGCAGGCGCGCTGTATGCATTCACGCCGTTCGATTAGGTTAATCCTAAAAACTAGACCCTGTATTTTCGAGGGCTGGCACAGTGTCGATCGCGTAATATTCTTTTTAATAAATGTGTATCTATTCTATAAAAGTCGTTCTTATTTCTTTCTATTTCAACTTCATTCTCTCTCTCTCTCTCTCTCTTTCTCTCTCTCTCTCTCTCTCTCTCTCTCTCTCTCTCTCTCGAACATGACAACAACGCACCGAATATGTGCAAGGTGACCGGTCGACCGAATTATCGCCGTCCAGCGAACGAATGTTACTTAAGCAAGCAAGAAAAATTAACACCTATTAAACCATTTTTCTTGTTACTATTTACAAATTGGTGCGCATTTACTGTACACGACAACAGTTCTTATTTTCAAGTTCCTCCTCCGAAATGATTTGCAGTTTATTTAATGTATTATTATTTAATAATTATTAATATTATAAATTATTATTATTATAATTATTAATAATATATATAATAATTATTATAATATTATAAATTATTATAAATAATAATAATTATTATTTAATAATATATTATTTATTTAATGTTATAAATGTTGGCTACTCGATTCGATCAGTTTATCAGTAGATAATTAATCGACTCGCTTCTAGCAATATTGTTCCAAGGATTTCAAATCATTTCTGAATACTAACTGCAAGCGTAACCTTTTCATTGTTACACTTTCTGATTTAAAATATTAATAATATTAATAATACAATGTAATACAATATAATAATATAGTAATAATATAATAATAATAATTTAATAAAATAATAATCAGCACCGGAAGGGTTAACAGCACACGTGCCTCGTGGGTTCATTCACTGGACAAGTCACCTCGCGCACAGTTATCGCGCTTCCCAACGCGAGTTCCCGAATATTTACAATGAATATTTATCCTATTTGCCAGACTTCTGAACGATGTCACACTCTGTCTCACAGACATTTCCACGTAGTTCATGCGAAAAGAATACTGAGAGATGCGAGGGGTAACGATGCTCGAGCTAATTTAATAACAATCGATCAAACCGTAACATTTACGGCCGCTAAAGAGAAAAGGAGCACACCTTAAGTAAACAGTCGGAATAAATATCAAAAATGTACATGAGAAACGTCCGAATTGGATGTTCCCCGCGTCCGAGTCGCGACGGTGAACGGCGCGGCGGACAAAACTCGTCACTTCTGAACCAGTTAATTATCGATCTAAGTGCCCTGATGCTTCTTTTTTTTTTTTAAAGAGAATGCGAAGATACGTCGACAGGCGTGTGAAGGAAATATAAGTTTCATTTAAAAAGCTCGAAGCGATTTGGATCGTTCGTAAAATAAAAATCCTTTCGACGATACTCGCTGTTGTGATTTGTCGCCAAACGAACACTGATCAACTTCCTTCGGGCAAAGTTGAACAGCTTAAATTGACGTCAACGCAAAGCTATTAAGAACTAAGTTCCATAAATTGTCGTACCGAAAATCGAGGAGATTATTTTCGGTAATCTTTTGTAAAGTTCGATCCGAGTTGATAAACGTTTAACCGAACGAATTAGTAAGATTCGTAAAACATCGTGGGCAACATTAAAGTCTGCGTTCCTTTGTTATTCGAGTTTTATACGTCGCGCGACACACTGCGGCGGGCGGAACACGGCGATCGTGACCACGACGGTCACGTTCGGAGCACGAACGTTACGAAATCGTTTACCGAATTCTGGTCTCGACGAGACCGGAGGCGTCGTGTTCGAACGCAAGTCTTTTCACGGGCGGACACGAGTCAAAGTCCCGCGAATCTCAGTTGCGATAAATCTTTATTATGTCCTCTATGGAGATCCACGAACCGAATATCAACGCGAACGTCGAGAACAACAGAAGCACGATGTTTTTCCAGAGCCTCCACTTGAACGTGCCCAGATGGCCCTCCCAGCAGGATATCGTTTCCACGATCGCTGGAATGCTGATGCCGAGCACCGAGAAAAATACGGCGCCCACCAGAGAAATGAACGGCTCCAGCTGAGGAACCAGCAGTGCCACCACAACTGTAACAAGAAAGAACACGATCTTTTATTTAACCTTTTAGGCACGACGCGCCACTATAGTGGCTTCCTCTAATAGCTCACTCGCTCATCGTTCGATCCAAATAATCGTCTTCGTATGCATTGTTTCACATTTCTTTTGTCTTCACATCGATTTACAACAGTCTACAGGGTGTCACAAAAATGTCTCACAATCCGGAAATGGCGGGTTCCTCGGATCATTTGAAGCAACTTCTTCCTTTACAAAAATGTTCTCCGAGGCACCGTTAACGAGTTATTAACGAAAAACAGTGACCAATAAGAATCGAGTACGGCTGACGCGGGCGGCCCAGCCAACCAGCGCGCGAAGCCCAGTTCCGCTCATTGGCTCGATCGCCTCGCGCCAGCCGAGCTCGCCTCTCATTGGTCACTATTTTTCGTTAATAACTCGTTAACGATGCCTGGGAGAAAATTTTTGTAAAGGAAAAAGTTGCTTCAAATGGCCCGAGGAACCCGCCACTTTCGAATTGCGAGACATTTTTGGGACACCCTGTATATACAGTATCAGACTCTGTACAGTACATATCAGACTCTACCGTCCAGAGAAATAGCCTCGCGCAGAATTCAGCCGTACCTAAAAGGTTAAACGATCTCACGATTGTTCTCGAGGTTGTTCGAGCGCGTTTCACTTTTTTACGAGGTTGCCAGGTATGTAAATTCGGTCGCGGGAATGTTCGGCAACTATTTAATACGAAAAGAGCTTTAAAACATTCAGGCAAATTACTTGAGTACTTTTTTAAATGCTAGAAAGTCCAGTTTGACTGAACAATCGCCAAGGAAACGTGTCTCGTAATCTCGCGCATCGGTGCACAAAAATTGACACTTTGGGAAGAGGAGATACGATTATTCGAGCCTTTTATAGTTATTGACAATTCGTAATTATAACAACAAACACCGCAAGGCTCGAACAATCGTATCTCCTCTTCCCAAATTGTCCAGTTTTGTGGACAATCTGAGCGTCAGTAAGGGAGACATTTGCTTCTCGTTCGGCTGCGCGCAGTACAGTAACGTCTCCCTAACTGACGCTCAGCTTGGAAACAATAATGGAGAATTTGGGAAGAGGAGACACGATTGTTCGAGCCATGCGTCTCGTTTTTATAGTTACAAATTGTCAAATAATTATAAAAACGAGCCGCAAGGCTCGAACAATCGTGTCATCTCTTCCCAAATTCTCCATTATTGTCAGCGTCACTTAGGGAGACATTACTGTACATCAGGGGTGTCAAACTCGCGGCCCGAGATGAACATTTTTGATGTCAAGTATCAGGACGTAAACAATAATTTAACTTTATACATGTTTATTACAATGTACTAGTCAAAATAAAAATATTTGTTTCTACGAACATTGATCTTTTTTTTTACGGCCCACCTAAAGTTAAGCATTGTTTATTTGGCCCAAGTTAGCTTTTGAGTTTGACACCCCTGCTGTACATCATCGTTACATCGACGGTGATAGCTTATAACGTGTGCCCGGATGATTTTCTATCTATCGTAAATAAAAGCTGGACGGCCAACGCATTCAGGTGTCGAATGCACCGATGCAATGAATATGAAGCCATAAATTGTCAATGAGCTGACCAAGCACGACATGTCGATACGAGTCACTGAACGGTGAGTCACGATGCTAGAGAACTACCTCTAACAGGTAGTTTCCTGACACACTCCGCCGTGATTGCTATTCCGACGCGCGCCTCCGCCGTTCCATAGCCGTTCGCGTTTCTCTCTGTCTTTCTTAGAAAAGCAACATGCGTGACTGGAACACGCCGATCCCGGAGACCGGTCCATAGCAAGAAGAATAATCGTGTCTTGTTATCGCAGAAATGTTGTAATATCCATTCTCATTCGTTACCGCCGACAGAGGCGATCTATTCCGTGTAACGAACGATTCGATTCGAGAAATCGGGAACGCTGTTCCCGACGAATTCTGGTGTTTTTATTTTTTTTTTTAAGCAATTTTCCCGTTTCGTGGATATTTTATTCTACAATCGTAACAATAGAAATTCGATGTCGAAGTATTAGAGAAAGAAATCGCTTGCCTGTAAACAGAACCATGAATATCCTCATCAGCGTTTCGCACAAGGTTTGATACTTGTGGCTGCACTTGTCCTTGATCGACGACCATATGATCTCCATTGGAACGAAATACTGGAGACCGTAGGTGAACAGAACAGCTACGGCGATTAGTATCTTCACGGCTTGACCTAATCTGTAATATTTCCTTCGTTGTAATTTCTTTGATTATACTAAGAGAGACAGGCGTCTCTATATTCTTATTTCTAGACTGCGGATCTTTATGCGAAATAAAAATGATTTGAGACAATTCTAAGAAATACAAATTAGATGAAAATATATTTTCTCTTTTAACAATCGTAATTAGTTGTACTGGACCTATTCATTTTCGTCACAAATGCATAAAATTCGCAGTCTATTTGCTTCTATGTGGAAAGATTCCAATTTAGCGAAAAATTATATAGTAATAAATAAATATAGTATTAAATAATAATATTATATAATACAATATTTATAAATATTAATAATTATATATATAATATAATATAATATAATATAATATAATATAATATAATATAATATATAATAATATTTATTTACAAATAATAAATAATAACGAAAGTTTATTTATTATTATTCAGTTTAGTATTTAACCTACAGAGTTTCGTAAACAATGGCAAGAGACTTTATCTTATTCCAAAATACGATTTTTCATTTCGTATGTTTCGAGCTTACATTTCATTTGTCGGCAGGCTTAGCGTGATGCTCGGCCGTACGTCTTCACCGTACGCCAAATAACCGAATATACCCAATACAGCATAGAGGGACACCACAATCGTCATCGTTATATTAAGAACACTCGGACATCCAAGAAAGTGTCCGGGATTCCGCATGGTATTTTCTACGGGCATCACCTGCGCAAAAGTAATTTCATTAATCACAAGTAGTAGATCGTTTACGAAGTCTTGCTTAAAAGTATTTGTTTAATTAAATATATTTGGAAAATGCCCAGCCTCGTTTCTAGTGCACTTCTCCTAGAGATACGCTGCAGTCGCAATCGGGCAATGTTCGAGCAATTATTCACGATTGCAATTGCAATATTTAACTATCAATATCAATGAAATTTTCGGCTGCCGAGATCTACGAAATGCATTGTTTAAATTTTCGGTCCAGGCTCGGATGAAGACATTGAGAAAACATCATTCTTTCATGTTTGGTTATTCCAGCCGGTTGGAAAATTTTTCAAAATTTTGCTGACTCAATAGCTAGTAAATTATTCGGTCCAATATCTCAGAATAATTCTAATTGTTTATATTATATGTAATATATTATACATATATATTATACGTATATAAAGTAATGTCTCCCTAATTGACGCTCAGATTGGAAACAAAAATGGATTGTTCAAGCCTTGCGGCTCGTTTTTATAATTATAGACAATTCGTAACTATAAAAACGAGACGCATGGCTCGAATAATCGCATCTCCTCTTCCCAAATTGTCTATTGTCTGTATTGTGTATTATATATATATGTACAATAATAATAATAATAATAATAATAATAATAATAATAATAAAATAAAATAATGAAATAATATTATAAATATTAAATAATATTTAATTTTATTAAATAATAAAATAAAATAATAAAATAATATCATTTTTTTAAATATATTATTATTATATTATATATATATATATAATTCGTTATATATATATATAGGAATTCGGAATAATTAATTATAAAAAATATTCCTAATAAATAATTAATTTATTAGGAATATATTAATATATAATTTATATTAGGAAAGCGAAAGTTCTGGGGTAAGGGCTCTTCCCAAGCGACGGTTCCGGGGTAATGCCTCTTATCAAAAGGCATCGCCTTTCCCCACTGGCCACGTGACCAAATCCTTCGGGAACAAAGTCTCAATTCTTTGGCAAGACGACGTCGGGCCGCTTGCCTTATTCAAACATACATTGTCTCGATCGGCAACGTAAGACACCCGATAGCCGGAAGACCCAAGTGGTCTCCAACCGTCGTCCGTTGCCAGGTTTTATTATACATATATACATATACTATTTTAAATTAGGAGGACCGGAAAGTAATGTCGTTTCTGCGCATATTTATCTGTTTCAATTTAATGTAAACAAACGACATAACTTTCCGGTCCCCCTAATATTTAGGTTGATGATATACGCTCATTGTTGAGGCCACGAGCATCTTCAGATCCTATCGTAAATCTATCAAAGATCCTAGTTCGACAATTCTTACAGAACTCTCTCTCTCTCTCTCTTTCTAACAATGTGTTGCCGCTGACAAATTATTAGCCCTCCTTCAGCTTATTAACCCTCCTTCACACTTCCTATCGTTTCTAGTATAAATATATACAAACATGACATCTTGCTAAGTCTTGTTATATGCTATTGTCTTATTATAATTATGCAGGCTATGATTACGCGCTATACGTTGGTAAAATGGTACTTACAACGCCGATACCTTCGATCGCGAATATCACCGTGGCAAAAAACGTGGGCAACTGCGAGACCGACGAGAACAATTTAACGTTCGGCGCTGGCAGTTGTATGTCTCTGAAAATGTAATAGAGGGTTATGGCGAAGCCGGCCATCATGCAGACATTGGCGACCATGGAAACCGGCACCATGTACTTCAGATTTCGTATCTGACCCAAGAGCAATACCGCAGGCAGCAACGCGAGAATATAATAGCGGGATGATATGTCCAAGCCGCTGTTATAGTTCGCCACCTGAAATCAAACGATGACAAATTCTTTCATATGTTTGCGTTATGTATACATAATATTAAGCGTAGACAGAATGCTATTGATAACAACCCTGAACCCTATTTATAACAATCTTTGGACAATTAGTAAGGATGTCTATAATACAGGGTGTCCCGGGAAAACAAACTATCGCATACGTTCTTATTTTTAAAGAAAATAAGAAATAACTATTTGAATGATCCGTTTCAGAATAAAAATAATATCGATCCGTTCGGGACAATTGCAATTCTCCGAGCAATGAATTATTTCTTACTTCTTTAATTGAAATATAATGAGAGATATAATCCTCAAAATAATATGCAACGAAAAGATTTTATCTGAAGAAATGTTAACAGCAATTTTCTTCGAGCAGAACTCTTCCTCCAAAACGTTCATCCTTGAGAGATGTTCGTCTGGGTCCATGTAACGTCGCCGCGAAATAAAATAATCATTCCACCGACCGATGCGGAAAATGGCAGAAGGAAAAAATCGTCGTTATTGTCAGATAATATCGTTTGACGTAGTTGAACCGGTTATTTTATCTTGCAGAAACGTCGATCGCGTATAATTATTTCAATTAGTATTATATTATATTTATATTTATATTATATTATAATAGTATTATATTATATTATAATATTATTAGTATTATATTATAATATTATTTATCGACGATACCGTAGAAATATAAAAGCTATGCATTCGGCGGAAAAAGAAATCATTCGCAATCAAATTCGACTGGCTGGGTAAAATCAAGGAAAAGAACAAGGGAAAACGTGGATCTTTTAAACGACGATATATCTCGAAAGTGAGAGAACGCGGATATTGTTCGACTTGATCACCTTGATTATTTCCAGCATTATTGAATCGATTACTATTCGTTTTCCCTCGATTAATCGTGGACGTGGATGCGATTGCAAAGCCGTACGTCAGCCGCCGTACGATTTATAATTTCCTCGTTTCGCGATGCAATGATTCAAAGTATTTCGTCTGGCTGATCACTTATCGAACGGGCCAATAAATATAAAATGCGACGAAAAGAAAGCCTTCGACAATCTCGCAGCGATTGATAAAATATCATTATGCTCGTCGTACCGAAACACGAATTTCCTTTCTTAATGAAATCACCGGCGCTCATTATCGCGAGATGAATGACTCATCTCACAGATTACAATTCGTACACGGTTGTAAAAAATCAAGCCGAGCCGATTATTCGGCCGATTTTCCTTTTTCTCGTCATACGTGCAACAAGAATTACCGTGAAACATCGTAAACGTTGCTTCAATGAATTCCCACGACTCTTTAGTTAACGTGATCGTTAGAAAATCAGAAGAAAATTGATTTCTGCGAAATTATCGGGAAAATAATAGAACGCTTGCGAGATTAATTAGTATCAATGTTTGAGTAATTATTGTACAGTGCGATTAACTGTTTCATCGTGCAACGGTGCTGCGTATTTAATATTCAGACGTCGGTGCTCGAGTCCATTTAATTCCAAAGTACAAATATTGTTATTTGCTAACTAATTTAGATCTCCGCGTGTTCTATTAAGATCGTTTTCTAGCTAATTTTGGCGATTTTGAGCTTATTTTGGGTAATTCTTGAGCTAATTTTGACGATTTTGAGCTTATTTTGACAATTTTGACCTAATTTTGATGATGTTGAGCTAATTTTGACGATTTTGAGCTAATTTTGTCAATTTTGAACTAATTTGGATAATTTTTTAGCTAATTTTGGCGATCTCGGGTTAATTTTGACGATTTTGAGCTAATGTTGGCGATTTTGAGCTATTTTTGGGAAATTCTTGAGCTAATTTTGACGATTTTGAGCTTATTTTGATCATTTGTGAGCTTATTTTGACAATTTTGAGCTAATTTTGACGATGTTGAGCTAATTTTGTTAATTTTGAACTAATTTGGATAATTTTTTAGCTAATTTTGGCGATCTCGGGTTAATTTTGACGATTTTGAGCTAATGTTGGCGATTTTGAGCTATTTTTGGGAAATTCTTGAGCTAATTTTGACGATTTTGAGCTTATTTTGATCATTTGTGAGCTTATTTTGACAATTTTGAGCTAATTTTGACGATGTTGAGCTAATTTTGTTAATTTTGAACTAATTTGGATAATTTTTTAGCTAATTTTGGCGATCTCGGGTTAATTTTGACAATTTTGAGCTAATGTTGGCGACTTTGAGCTATTTTTGGTCATTTGTGAGCTAATTTTACCGATTTTGAGCTAACGTTGGCGATTTTGACGCAATTTTCGCCATTTTTGAGCCAATGTTGCCGATTTTTGAACATCTCTAGTTACGTCAAGCATATTTTAAACAGCGCCGATCCTAAGCAACCTTCGTTGCTTACACGTTGCCCGAATAGATCCGCTGTTCGATCGTTAATCGAGAACACACGACCCCTCGCGATGTTCATAAGTCGGCAGTGAAATTTTCGAATGCTAGATCAAAGTGACTCGTTCCGCGCGCAGTCGAAGGTTGGCGTTCGCGCGCGGCGAGACACGTTCCTCGCGGTGAAAGACAAAGAAGATCAACCAAGGAGATATCTTACCTGCTGTATCGAGGTCGCGACGAACACCACGTAAACGCACGAACCACCCACGTAAGTGGCGCACAATGCGGATTTTACAAAGATTCGACTGACGTTCGCCAAAGGTCTGACCGGCTTCGGTCCGTAAAGGAATGCAGCCTCAGCTGTCTCGGCGTACGTCATCTGAGGTGTTTTCGTCCTCTTGCAGAGCACGTGGGACGAGTGGACCAGTATGTGGACACAATGGGCGCATATGAACCCAATTATTATCGTGCCGATGCTGCCGATCAAAAGGCCGCCGTTTCGTATGGCGTTCGGCATCGCGAGGATTCCGGTGCCCAGGGACGATTTCAGCAAATGCGCCAGCGCCCCGGCATCGCTGCAACAGAAACATCGCTGTTCGTTAATATTTCTCCCCTTTTTTCTCTCGCTCCTCTTGGATTCTTCTACGATCTCGTTCGACCAGAACGCGAGGCGTATCGTTTGCTAAACCCACAAATTGAGGACGATTGTTCGTCCTCGTTCGTTTTTTGTTGCTTTTGCATCTTCGAATTTATCTTTCTCGTGGGAGGTTCGCAATAAACGGAAGCGCAAAGAGATACATAGTAACTTACGAGTTGGAGTTTTTCTTGTCGCGATGCTCGAAGGGATCGTACAATTCGTCCTTCTCGTTGAATTCGCCGATCACTACGGGCGCTATCTTGGTGCTGGAAACAAACGAATCGGTGCAGGTGCATTAGCGCTTCTGATTACGTGCGACACGATCACGGGCGCGCGCGTGCTCGATTGCTGGGGACTGCAATTTCGGACTTTCACGGATTCGAAGAATCTCATTGGCAACGTAAATCGGAACATCATTGTCCTCTCGGGCGCCGGATATGCGATGTCGCGCGTCTATTGCAATCGGAACGCGCGAAGATGCCAAGATGTGATGGGCGGAAACGGTGTTGAAAATTGTGAGAGTTGTCCACGTTATTGCTAATTAATTGCCGATCCGGCCGTATCGGGGCCGTCTATCAAAGTTAAATTGACAGATTTTCTGAGCTGCACTTTATCGGGCGCCATCGATCAAGCCTGATAACACAGCACACAAGGAGATTTCCGACTTGCTTCAGAAATCACTTAACTTGGAATTTTTTTCCGGCGTCGGTATTAAGGTTGTACTCGTTAAGTAAAGCATTATGCATTGTGTGCGCGTACTTGTGTTTTTTGGGTGTGCGTACGCGTATGTATGATCGGTCATGTTGGATCGATTGTGACGTAGATCGCTCTACGGTCATTTAAATGTCATGTCATCGAATCGAAAGCTCCGAAAAGAACGCAGATAGCACAAGACGCCTTAACCCGAGAAAGATAACCTACGTCGCAGAGGCGCCTGCGAAGACTGTTGATTTTTGTTAATTTTTCATAGAGGTCTAGTGATTTAAGTTTAAAATTACTTAAAATATAAAAAAATATAATATAAATGCATTTTATTTTTACAATAATGCCAAACCTTTAAAATGACTAGATTAACTTAAATAAATATCCATTGTTAGTATAAAATTGACGCCTTAGAAAAGCATGCGCCTCTGAAGCGTATGGTTATCTTTTACGTACGTTGTCATATGGTTATCTTTCTAGGGTTAAAGACGTCTTTAAGACGTCTTAAAAACGTCTGGTGTAGGACGTATGGTATGAAACGTCCCGAATGTCCCATGAAGAGCTTAGAAACGTCCTGTGTCACAAATCAAGACGTCTTATGGACATCGTTAAAACGTCCTGTGAACGTCTAAACAACGTCTTAAAGACGTCTCAAATTGGACGTCCTTTTAACGCCTGAGATAAGACGTCTTAAAGACGTTCATTTTATGGTATACGACGTCCAGACCTAAGATGGACGTAAAATGAACGTCTATAAGACGTCCAGTGCTTATCGGGAAGCGACAATTAGTGTAACTAACCGCCGTAGCACGTATTATGTAATAACGAATCATCGATGACGGAATAATACCTGCTGGTGAATTCCTGCATCGGATTTTCCATAGCTGCTTGTTCCTTTTCTGCTTTCCCCATGATGAATCTGGAAGCAAAACATGCATAGATTTTATACTAAATACCAGATAACGGAACAACGGAAGCATAAATGTTATATTCGCTCGTCCGCCGAATATATATCTGTGCCGTTATACGAACGGAATTTACCGAAAAATCCCCCAGCGTCGAGCGATAATTAACGATCAATTAATGTGTAGTATCCTTATCGCGACGACGAGCCGCTTATCCCCCCAATCAATCGAGCCGCACGACAACAGAGACAAATAAAATTCCAGATCAAATCGTTTGCCGCAAATATTATACACGCTTATCGATGTAGGTGAGCTGTCATGCGAGATTATATCAGTCACTTCTTTTTTTTTTCACTCGACACCGCAGAATTTCGATAAAAGCGATGAGTATCAAATTTCGCGAACGACTGATTAAAAGAGATCCGACTCGGATAACCCGGTGTTTGGAAACAAAGCCGAATTCGTCGCACTTCCAAATTCTCGAGTTCTCTTTACAAATACAACTCGACGGTTAATGCGAAACGTTGTAACAACGATGACCGATATGTCGGCGAAAATTTTCCACGAATGCGTCAATTGCCTTATCGACGAAATTATCATAATTCGTTGGTCATTAACGGGCATATAACTTTGATCGATCGACCAACTATAACGAGGAGAGCTCTAGGCTTTTTCGATGAGATTTCGCACGATTTCGCACGAGCTTTGTAAAGTCGAATCTGACAACGACCGGTTCCGGATGCGAACGGCTCATAGTTTTTGAGATATTCAACCCTTTCACGGTGGAATAAAATCATAGATTTCGTCCAGAATAGAATGCGCAATTTTTTTTATCGCTTTAAACCGTTAGACGACGGCGACGTATGGACGAAGTCCACGTAATTACGTCATACATGTCACAAGGAAATGGTAATTTTACATGTTACAACGAAAATACTTGTTCTACGATTTAGGTTGAAACGCTTGTGAAACGTATTCATAAATTTTGGAATAATTCTAGAACAACTCGCCGAAAGGAACTGTTTGTGATCGATAAAAAAACCCGTCTCGCGACCGTCTAAATTATTGTCACTGCAAAATGTCACTGTAAAACAATCTACACGACCACATTACGTTGAAACGTGCTGACAAAGGGAGAACAGTTTGCCTCGTATACGTTACGAATTATGGTTCGTTCTTTATGGCTCGGTTCATCAATCACTTAGCAGTTTGCAAGGAATTTTATCAATGATAAATGTCGAACCCAGTCTCTTCGCACGATTCATGGTACTGTCTGACAATGATATATGCACGTGCACATTTGTACAATTAAGAATTTTCAGGGCGACGTTTCGAACAATAATGGATGAAGCATCGATAGACAGATTAACAGACAATAATAATAATTAACAGATAATAATAAGTAAAACATTGACCTTCGCCGAGGAAAAAATTATTACAGAAAATTTGCCCTAATCGACGCTCAGCTTGTGCAGCAATTTCTCCCTAATTCGCGCTCAGATTGCACAGAAAAATGGACAATTTGGGAAGAAGAGATTATTATTATTTATTTCATATGATTATTATTCGAGTCTCACGACTCATTCTTATAGTTACCGATTGTCAACGACTATAAAAAGACACAATGCCCCGAATAATCGCGTCTCTTCTTCCCAAATTGTCTATTTTATTCGTGCGCGATCTGAGCGCGAATTAGGGAGCAGAAATAACTGCATCAGGAATTGTAAAAGCAAAAGTCGGCAACCAGTGATTTTTACTTCCTTGCTGGTTCTAGTGTTAAAAGTATTGGAAAAGCCTTTATTCGAGCCTTCTCTTCCCAAATTGACCATTTTTGCTTCCAAGCTGAGCGTCAATTCGGGAGAATTTACTGTTCAAGATTCGCGACCCTTCGGAATCGCTTGAAATTAATCGGGCCTAACATCCGCAAATAACGAGCTGCCATGCTTCTGCATAAAAATGCACGAATTACAACGCATTAAAATTGACATTAGCACACGTTAATTCGATCGATTGATCCGTCCACGAGACGATTACCCAACTCGCAGTGCGACCAAAGCGAAAAGCATCTGCTACCGTTCGCGATATCTTTCTGTCGCGACTTGAGCAGCGTTTATTCCCTGCTATGGATTTATGGCTTCGATTAATCACTTTCAACGGTGGCAATTGCATTGGATTAGTTCTTCGCGACAGTGTCTGCGGCTCGATCCTAGCGAAAGATAATGCCGATAATGCCTCTCTAGCGACGAATTCGAACTTTCTCTCGCGACTCTAATTTTCGTATACGAATTTCGGATGCAAATCTATGTGTATATGTATTTGTTTTATTTAGCGGAGAAAGGTCGCAGAGCAAAAGTGTCCGCGCTTAAAGTCACGACGCAAATTTATCTCTACCGCACGATAAATAATTCTAGGAAAAAAAGCAGCTTCGATATACGTCATTCTAATTCTATAATAAGAATAACAAAACGAAGGACAGCTTAAATTATGAGCGTTAGTCATTCGGATGTTTGCATATACAACAGCATATCGCGGCGATTAGTATCCGCGATGTTTAGTGCGCGAAAGAATAATATTCATAGTTGAACTTCCAAGAAGGTGTGCATTGTGTAACAGCCACTCGTACGCTGCTGCTTTTTATTAATTATACGTTCCAACGATAGGCGTGTATGTGTTCTATTTCTGCCGTGCACAGAATAATTAGAACCGCGAAAGTCTACAGTTTCTGAACACATGGTACACCATTGTACTATTAACAACGTTCGATATATTGGCCAAGAATTCTGCCGTGCCAAATGTTTTCAAGTTGCTCACGATTTTCTAGCACGGTGTACAGTAAATTCTTCCTAATCGACGCTCGGATTATGCACGAAAATGGACAATTTCAGAAGTGAAGATACGATCGATCGAGCGTTGCAATTATAAAAACGAGTCGCGAGCCTCGAACAATCGCATCTCCTCTACCCAAATCGTCCATTTATGCTTCCAAGAAATTACCGTAGAGATTGAAAGCCGTGGGAAAATGCGAAATTGGAGCAGCGGAGCCTGCAATTTCGTCACGTAAGGACGTCGACTGCGCCGAGAGAAGTTCCGCGGGAAAAAATAGATCGATAATAGAAGGTTGCGTCTTAAAAATGTCTGGTGTAGAACTTCTGCTGTGAGACGTCCCGCATGTCCCATGAGGAGCCTAGAAACGTCCTGTGTTGCAAATCAAGACGTCTTATGGACATCGTTAAAACGTCCTGTGAACGTCTAAACAACGTCTTAAAGACGTCTCAAATTGGAATTCTTTTTAACGTCTGAGATAAGACGTCTCAAAGACGTCCATTTTAGGGCATACGACGTCCAGACCTAAAATTTACGTAAAATGAACGTCTTTAAGACGTCCAGTGCTTATCGGAAAGCGACAATTAGTGCAATTAACCGCCGTAGCACGTATTATGTAATGGCACGATTTTCCAACACCGTGTACAGTAAATTCTCCCTAATCGACGCTCGGATTATGCACGAAAATGGACAATTTCAGAAGTGAAGATACGATCGATCGAGCGTTGCAATTATAAAAACGAGTCGCGAGCCTCGAACAATCGCATCTCCTCTATCCAAATCCATTTATGCTTCCAAGAAATTACTGTAGAGATTGAAAGCCGTGGGAAAATGCGAAATTGGAGCAGCGGAGCCTGCAATTTCGTCACGTAAGGACGTCGACTGCGCCGAGAGAAGTTCCGCGGGAAAAATAGATCGGGAATAGAAGGTTGCGCAACGCGGCTGCATAAGGGGAAGCGAGCTGTGTTGTGTGACATTTCGTGGATCACGATCGCCCCCAGGAATTTCCACAAACCGGCCACGAGAATTCGTGCCGGCGCGACGCCGAAAGCGGCGCGTTTTGTCCCGAGTCGCTCGACTCGATGATCCTAGATCCCTCTGCCCGGTTGCACTCGTATTCGTGGATCATTCGGCGCACCTGGGATCCCGGGACAATTTTTTGCGAGCGGCGGGGTCGCTCGTGACTCTTTTCTACTCCGTGGCTCACGCGGCAATATTTATTAGCCACATCGCGAGTCCTTTCTCCTCCCCGACATTAGAAAGTCCTACGTTCATTGTGCACGTACGTTCCCGTGGATGCATTCAAGGATATGTCCCGGCTGCAACACCGTAATTGTATGTAAGCGCATTCCGCCGATTCTCGCCGGCGCGTGATTGCTCAACGCATCCGAACCGGCGGCTCGATCTCGATCATTAACCCTTTCGGTACGAGCGCGTTGTCCGCCGTGACACTCCCACTGTACGGGGTGCCGCGCCGAAAATCCGCGCATAACGCAGGGTCGATCCACTTTTGTACGAAGATTTTCTTAAGCGTTAAGTAATGACTGTGCTTAATCCGTTTCTAAATCTTTTGTTTCCTGTGAACATTCTGTAAAGGGCCTACAATATGTTAAAATCTATGAACAAGTTTCGAAGAAAAATGTAACCTGAAATTTTTATAATCGATTCAGATCAAACGACAATTATACCTGTAGCTGTCTTTTCGGAATCCTTGTAAGAAAAGACTTTGTCCGTTTGAGTCCCAGGGATTATTCAGAAAACACGGTCGAAAAATGCCAAACAGCATGATAGCGCTGCTTGGGACTCAAACGGTTATTAGAATAGTTTCTAATATGTCAGAAATATGGCTTGCATGGATGCCAGGTGTATTCGGCACTCGTCCATATTGGTCATCGGATGGATGCCGGATATATCCGGCGCTCGTACCGAAAGGGTTAATCGAAAACCTACCCTCGCGGGCGCTGCGGAAACACGCGAGGCTAGGAAGTCGCGGAATACGGTAATTTCTTCGTTGCGCCCTTTCCAAGGGTGTCGATAAGTAATATAATAGTAGTATAGTGATATCGGCTCGATTAATCGTGCCTAGTCTTCTCGAATTGTGTATTTTTGTTTGCAAGTTGAGCGTCGATTAGGGAGAATTTACTGTATTTCTTAATTTCTTGTTTCTCGTTATTATTATTAATTTTATATA